ACCCCATGTACTCTGATGATACTGTAATGTGATTAACTGATCAAGGTAGATAATGTTAAATTAGAAACATTAAACAATACAATGAAATAGTATGTTATAAAGGTAAAGGTAAAGGTACCCCTGCCCGTACGGGCCAGTCTTGCCAGACTCTAGGGTTGTGCGCTCATCTCACTCTATAGGCCGGGAGCCAGCGCTGTCCACAGACACTTCCGGGTCACGTGGCCAGCGTGACAAGCTGCATCTGGCAAGCCAGTGCAGCACACGGAACGCCATTTACCTTCCCGCTGGTAAGCGGTCCCTATTTATCTACTTGCACCCGGGGGTGCTTTCGAACTGCTAGGTTGGCAGGCGCTGGGACCGAACGACGGGAGCGCACCCCGCCGCGGGGATTCGAACCGCCGACCTTTTGATCGGCAAGTCCTAGGCGCTGAGGTTTTACCCACAGCGCCACCCGCATTTGTTATAAATCAAATCAAATAAAAAATGTGTTAATATAGGGCAGGGGTCACCAACTATTTTGGTCCAGTGGTCACAATTATAATGTTGAGAGTGTACTGTGGGTGCTAGTCATAAAATAGCTGCAAAGGGGGCATGGTATGACAAAACATGGGGGGCAAACCATAGGCAAAACTTTCTCTACAATTGAATTTCCATACTATAAAAGGATTAATCTGTTGAATTTCTGCCTATCATACAGCTGTTAAAGGCACAATAAGCCTGCCCCCCATGCCAACCAAAGCCTAGGCTGTCACATTAAACACAAAGACATACCTCTGAATAAACATATGCACCACCGTGCTGTAAGTAAACTATACAGTGAATTCTTAATGAGTGCTTGATCTTTAGCTCCCGCACAGGAGACAATCCTAGGCCTATCTGCAAAGTTTTCATATTTGCCTTTTGTGGGAAGGGGAATTATTTAATATCCACCCACATGTATTGTGCTGTAGCATTTGCAAAAAAATAATTTCTGGGAGTTATCTGATCTCAGATAAACCCACCACAAGAAAGATGCATCTTAGTTGCTAGGGAAAAAGGAAGGGCAAACTACAGAGATTCCAAGGACCAAGGGGAGGGAAAAACAACAGCTCTTTGGGACCTCATGGATTCCTACTGCCTGGTATCTGTCACAGCTCTGAATTCACCTATTGGATAAAATCACTGACAGGTGAGATCAGTCAGTCTGGCTCACTTCACAGAGATCACTTAAAAGGGTACCCGCGCATTTTGCTTCACAACTTTTTTCCTATGGGGGCTTTTTAAAAAAAATGAAAGCAGAGTCTGCAGCCCCTGCCCAGGGATGCCGCTGAAGGCGATCATGGGTGCCATGGCACCAGCGGGTGCCAGTTTGCTGGCTCCGTTTAGAAGGTTGGACTAGGGAAATTCAAATACCCAATCAGTCATTAAGCTCACTGGGTAACTTTGGGTCAGTCACTATAATCGAACCAACAGGGTTAGGATAAAATGTGTGTGTGGAGCATGTCTACCACCCTGAGTTCCTTGAAGGAATGGTAGGATATAAATGAAGTAAGTAAATAAATGCTTGGTAACTTCTTGGGGCACCCAGTTAAAGATACAGAAAGTATTTAGGGCTGGGGGAGATACAAAGTTTTAAAACTATTAGGCACAACATCAAAAATCAAAATGGTATGCTAAACATCTGATCCTGTATGTGATTATGATTTGATCACAAGCCATCAATGTGTACAGTAATCTCTGATAAGGCAATGATTGTCCAAATGGTCATGAGAATCTGCCCTATCTTTCCCAAAGATTAAGGACACAATGTTTAGGGCGAAAGCTAATAGGTGAGGAAGAATTAAATTTCATATTGAAATCTAATATTCCTAGTCCAATCGCTTTATTTATAACCACTATGGATACATTCCTGCTAACGTTATGCACGCACTAACTTTCCCACCGAAACAAAAAGGACTTAAAAGTGCTTTCCTTCAGCTAATTTGTGTCTTTAAACAAAGTCTAGATTTTGAAGACAAAAATGTTTATAATTAACCTTTTTTTTTTACGGGAAATATCCAACTGTCACAGGGGAGAAGCCTATCAATTGTTATTAACCATTCTTCAGGGTTCTACAACCTATCACTGGGTCTGGGAGTCAATAATTGTTTCTAGCAGCTATTGAGCTTCCTCATTCTCACTAAATATTCCACAAAGATAAATTAAGAGCATCTCTTTTGTACTCACTGCCTGACAAGGAGCCTTGCAAAAGAGTCAGAGCAAGTGGTGTGTGCTTATGTTTGTAGCATCCCCTGTCTTCCAAGCCCTGGCAATCCTGCTGTGTCTCAGAACAGAATACAGTCTGGTACTTTTTGAAAGCAGGACTTTCTCACACATTATATACTGGAAGCTTTTTTAAAAAACTGAATCAATATGATGGAGTACACTAAAAGATTTTCCTGTTATTTGTTAGATTTAAGTGTACGGTCACCACTGGCCCAGATAGCTAACTGGAACCTCCATGTTCAAAGGCAATATACCACTGAATATCAGGTGTTAGAGACAAACAATCTGTTGTTCTCTCCCATAGTGCATTGCTGCCTGTTATGCAAATAGATGGGGGAAATCACATCAATAAACGAGAGATGCATTGGGTCAGGCTGTGGCTCAAAACTAGGTCATGCAACTCTACCCTTTTCTTGTTCATTTCTTTACATTGTTCAGAGGAGGGAAAAGATTGGGGGAGGAGAGAAAAAGTAGAAGACAGAGGAAGAATGAAAGAGAAAAGGAAAAACTGGCATATGTACTAAAACTGACAACTGCATCCTGCATTGGCCCCAGGTTTGAGAAGCTGAAGACTATAGTATGATATACACTAAAACAGTGATGCTATCTACCTTAGACTTTATGTAGAACACTTCTTTAAAAAGTTGGTCACTACCTATGTAGGCAGTCTTAAACATGGGATGTCAGCTTTTAAAGCATTTGCTGTATGTTTAAGAAAGAAAGTTACTACAACCACCGAAGATCAACAAAAAATCTACTAAATAACAGCAGCTAGCCTTTAGCACACTTAACATTATATTACAGTTCTGAAACTGAAACATGGAATACATTTTATTTCATGTTATAGATGTACAATTATAACCTTGTCCACTATAAAGTGCATTTTTATCTCTAGCACAAATTTATTCACAATAGCGGAAAACAGAATTAAACCGTCATATTTTGATCCAAATCCTCAAAGCACATTTGTGTGTGTGTGTGTGAGAGAAAGTAAAGCATACAGAAAAGATGGCAATGGTGTACAGTTTTAATTCCCAGAAATTCATATTGTAGTTGTACTCTGTGTGGGAGGTACACTGCTGTTAGTTGTTTACTATCTTGCAGATAAGCATCACCACCACAATAGTAAACCAGCATGCACAAGATTTTTTTAGTGCATGACTGGGACCTAGCTTAGCACATGCTAGCATTTAATTAACCCAGGAGGCACCATTTACAAAAGGCAGAGTATCTCTCAAGAGACCTTCCTTTTTATTCTTAGCAGATTAAGGAAAAGGCCAAGACTACTAAAAATCATACTCCAATTAATCCCTACCTAGATCTCTTTTTAACACCAGAACCATACAAAAATAATGTTGGGGTAGGAGATGAAGGAAGATTTACTATTCTCTATATACAGTGCCTGCCAAGTAGGTTATATTTTGTATCTGCTCATTTCTAATAAGCAATGTGTGTTGGGCTAGAGTAAATATACACATTAAACAGAAATACCCACAGTTATAAAATCAGACACAGAAGGGTCCCAACCATTTGGCTCTTAGACAATGAGCACCTGCTAAACGTCACAAGTTAACTGTATGCCTATCCTTAGAGAACCCAAGGCACTCTGAGTGTGAGTGTGTGTACATATGTGTCCCCCCCCCCAAGTCTATCCTCCTTAACACATGGGGTTGTGAAGAGAAAGATCCTACTTGGCTCAGCCCAGGCAATGCTAAGCGTAAACAACAACCTGCGGTAGGAGCAGCAGCGGATTAGCTGCTGCTGTCACCACTCCCAAGGCAGGGCAAAAAGCAGGATGTTTTGTTCACCATGAAAACATTCCAGACCTACATATGCAAGATCACAGTGGTGTTACTCTGCATTACATAATCCAGAGCACCAAATAAATCAGTCCTGGAACTGCAATCATGTACACAGATTAGACAAACCATGCAGGAAAAAGCCCAACCAGGAAGCTTGCCTTTCTATCATGATTAAGAGCAGCACCAAATCACTATTCTTGATTTTAAGTGTTCAAAAAGAAAGAAAGAAAAATATAAGGGGGGGGAGACTTTTTTTTGGGGGGGGATATTGGGTGAAAACAAAAGCCCAACTCCCTGTCAGCTACAAACGAGGATGTTTCCCAACCCGCAGTGCCCACTTCCTCCCCTTGTGGAAGGTATCAGCTGAGTGTCAGCGGCCGGTTTGCCTTAGGAGAGTCCGCTCTGGGGCAATCGATTGTTTATGCTGAGCGAGCGCGCGACACAGTCTCTCTCTCTCTCTCTGAGTGAACGAGCGCGCGTGTGCACGCGTGTTTACACACGCACACACACGCACGCACACGGGGGTCTATTGAAAGCGCAACCAGTGTTAATAGTGTTTTACCTCAACAAACAACAATTTAAAAACACACACACACACACACAAACCCCAGCACGCCCCTAAGGAGTCAAGTTCAAATTCTGACGCGCGCGTTATTATCGAGGGACGGAGGAGGGCGTAAGGCAAGCAGGAGGGATAAAATAAAAAGGTCCCCCCTCATGCTGCCCCCGACGCAGCTTAAGGCTTGAGGTCGAAGAAGAAGACAAGGGTAAAAGGCTCGCCGGGAGAGGAGTCGGGGCCAATATCCGAACCGCGACCGCGCCCCATGTGCTAGGCGAGCTTTGGCCAGAGGTGCCTCTGGAGAAACTCTCTTCTCCCCCGCGCCCCGCCATATATATAGAATAAATATATTATCTCCGTCCATTCCTCTCTCCCCCACGCCTCCAGGGACTCACTCAAGCAGAGCTGGCCGACGTACGCGTAGTAGGACCAGGCGACGATGCTCCCGATGAAGAGAACCGGCACCCAGTAAATGAGCCACTGGCAGCTTCTCCTCACGCCTCCCGCTCGAGAGCGGCTGCTGCTGCTGCTGCGGGACAGCGAGATGCTCGACGAAGCCGCCGGCCCTGCCGGCGCCGCCATCTTCCCGCACCCCATTCTCCCGCCCGCTCAGCGCTCGGCCTCTTCAGCTGCTCGGTGGTCCGTCGGGGGAGCCCGGGGCCCTCGACGTACATCCCCGCCGGCGGAGGCGGCGACGGAGGCGACGCCTGCGCGGTCCCAGGGCTTTCTTCCCCCCCGTTCCCGCCCGGCCGCCCGGCCGCCCGTTGTGCCGCCCTCTCCGGGCGGAGCGGCGTGAGGCGGCGGCGGCGGCCGCTCCTCCCCTCAGCCGCCTCCCGACTCCCCCCGCCCCGCCAGCGTCGTCCTTCCTTCCCGCCAGTCACAGGCTAGCTAGGAAGCCGCCTCAGCCAGTTCTTTTTTCTTCTCTCTCTCTCTCTCTCACACACACACACGCAAAAAACCCCAGTACTTTATGTAGGCACACACACATATATAATTGATTCCGGTGCAAGAAATCAGGAACATAGGCACCAACATCTAGGGGCTGAGGTCCCTTCGCCCCATAAAATATTGCAGGGAGCCAGTCCCACCCCTAAGTTGATGGGCATTGCCATTCAAACAGGGTGTGTGTGTGTCTTGTGATTGATTACATAGGCGTAGCTGCACCCCACCATCAAGTAAATAAATAAAAATACTTAACCAACTGCATCACAGATAACTCGATTCTGCCTCCCCCCCAAATAAATCCATGATTGATTATGTGGGGTGGCGTTTACCTGTCCCCCCAATATATTTTATTGAAGTAGGCACCCCTGGTCAGGAACAAGTACCAGCAGAAAGGCGCTGTCTACGGTAATTATGATTTCCCTGAAAAAGGGAAGTGGGGGAAGCAGGAAGCAAGAAAGGCAGCTATTCTATTTATGATTTGTAAGAAAATCACATGCCCTTGTGTGCCTAGTTGAAGGCTGTGGTACCACTATAGCCTCTGATCTTCCTTGAGGCCACAGTTGTGTTATGTGTACATCAGGGAAACTCCAGGCTTGTTGGGTCTATTTTGTTTTTTTACTAGAACCTCAAGATGCCCCAATCTGAGACTTAGGATGAAAGGAGAAAGTATTTCTGAATGCCTTTTGAGGCTAAGGATTTGCTAGTCTAACCAACCACAATGGAAAAGCTTAACTTTAACTTTAATGTTAACTCACGAGGTCTGTAACCATGGGATGTGGTAGATCTGCACTGCTATGTCAGAATTGTTAGGTACCATGTGCCTCTTTAGCCCATCCAAGCCTAGAGCCTTAGCTTTTGAAGTCCTGTGGGATTTGTGTTCTCAGTATTCTTATTGTACATCATTTCTGTCCCTCTCTTAGTGGCAAGGTCATTTGCAAATATAGTCAGTAATAGAAAGGGTTTAAACTTAAATAGCAGCAAATTATTATGGTAATATCCAACAGCTTTTTATTGGTATTTCTACTGCTTGAAATCGGTAGTAAAGTTTCATCCAGTTATGGAGATGTTATGTTCAAATACAGTCTCATCCACAGGAGCGAACTTTGCCCCCCAATAAAATATTTGAGGGGTCTGCCCCCCCCAAGTTGATGGGCATTGCCACTCAAATAGTGTCAGTGCACCGTGTCATGTGATTGATTATGCAGAGCAGGTCTTACTTGTCCCCCCCCCCCCATATTTTATTCAAGTTGGCACCCTGGTCTCACCTGTGTGGAACTCTATGGCCCTCCAGATATTAGGACTCCAATTCCCATCAGCCCCAGCCAGGATAGCCATTGGTCAGGGATGATGGGAATTGTTGTTCAGCAACATTTGGAGGGCCACTGGTTCTCCGCCCCTGTGTTTAATGGGCCATACCAAATGGAAACTGACATTTCTGTTAACATGGCAGCAGAAGAGCTGTAATCTTCACAGACGTGACAACAATATTAAGGAAATGAAGTGCAGTGCTTTCAAGTATTTAAAATTAGTTATTTCTTCAGTCTCTTCCACAGATAAAGCAGGGAGGTGAACAGCTGTATTTATTCAATAGACAGGAACATATGAACAATTATAGTCCTGAGGCTACTAATTTATTATATACATAAAGCCATTGTATGGGTTGCCATGGCTGCAGTGTAAATTTTTGGGATTACATATAGTGGAACAAAATACATAAAAATATGTGGTAATAGATTTCCTGTAGACCTCTCAGACTTAAGTCAGAGTGCTGTTCTTTGGCCTATTAACCATGAAAATGATACACATACCCCAAAGTCCATCTACCCTCCTATGTTTTGCTTAAGCCATAGAATCATAGAGTTGGAAGGGGTCCTGAGGGTCATCTAGTCCAACCTACTGCAATAAAGGAATCTTGCCCACAGCCATCCTTGGGTGGGTTCAAACCACCAACTCTCTGGTTAATAGCCAGATGCGCTTCTCCATTGTACCACAGTGTTGCCTGTAATAGCGCATTCAAAGATGCCCTCTTGACACTCCAGTCTATGCACTAAATCTGTACAAAGAAGGGACACCATTCTAAGTAATACAGCCTAGTGTTTTACGCTTAAAACAATGAGAAAAAACTCAAACAAAAAATGCTTCTCATTACTGTTTATACGAATTACTGTTTTAAAAGAAGATAATAGTTGTTGTGGGTGTGTTTGAGCTACCCAGCTTTTATTACCCTGCAGGATTATTTCTGTTGGTCCTAAAACATTTATGATTTAATCATTCATCTTAAGTCATGATTCATAGAGGCACACACAGTAACTGCTTTCCTAGCATTTGGCTCCTGATTTTAGAAAAGTGATTCAAATAATTCATGTGAAAATAAATGGACTGGGTCCAAACTATTTCAGCTATGAGCAACCCCACATATATCCATCTTCCCAATGTAAATAATGCCCTGTGTGTAGAACAATAGTGCGCTAGGAAGGAAAAGGAAAAGCAGGAACCCTTCTGCCTGATGAGTGCTCACTTTCATGTGCACGCTGCCCTCCTCCCCCCGTATTCTGAAGTTGTATAGTCCAGGGAAGACTGTACCACGTGATTTCCTAATGTGTTTTTTGGCGTCGCGGTGAGTGTCTTAGCAGAGCAGGAATGGGCTCATAATCTGTCAGTTCTTCATGCCAAGCAATTTCTCTGCCTAATGGTCAGTTCCTTGGCATACAAGAAAAATCTTGCGGATGAGTGTATATGCCAAGTGTTTACTTACTAGTGCAGCTGCTCAGCCCTGTCTCCTTTAAATGCAGAACTCCCTAGCAGTGCACCTCATTGCTATTTCTTCCTGGAAAAGAGCAAGCAAGGAAGCAAAGCACAGCCAAGTAAGCAGGCAGTGCAACACTGACTCAAAGGAGCCATCCATCCAGTGAGAGTCAAAAGCAAACCATAGTCTATACTAGTGGCTCCCAACTGGTGCTCTAGTGGGTCCATGGCACACATCCATCAACTGCCCAGGACATCCATTTTTGTGGCCATCCAAATACATGATGCACCGACCACTTCCCAGCTGCCCACTGAATGGCAGACGCTACTGCCTATGCTGCAGTTCCTGCAGCTCTATGAGTCTGAGATCATCCTCCATGGAGAGTCCCGGCTCCTCGTCAACGAGGTTGCAGCTGATCCTGGTTCCTCAGTGCCTGAAGTCCAGGCATCTCATGGTGGGGAAAGGCAGGAGCCTGGTGTCTGGATTGTGGCCCCTGGATCTGGGGAAGCGCTGCTCAGCTCAGTCACCTTTGGTCAGATGGGGGCTACCATCTCTCCTGCCACAGCTGTGGCCCCTTCCGCAGTGGCCTTGAGGCGAGCTGGGAAAGGTGAGCATTTGGGTCACTCCCAGGAGGGACCTTTTACTCTGGCACTTACTCTGGCCTTGCATTCGTGGCAGCTGAGGTCAAAATCAAGATATATAATTCATATATGGAAATGACAGTTCTATGCTGTGGTTGCATAGTATTACAGACATTTATCCTTCTCTGCTGCAGCAGTTTACTACCATATAAATGGATATGGGTCTGTGTTAAATTTAAATACAGCTCTATACTGTATATACATTGATATTGTAGTAGCCTACCATAAAAGAGAAACATAGGAAATACTTTTTTTAAAAAAAATTAATGATCTATCATTTTGTCCTTGTGTTACTGCTGCAAATTATATTTGAATGGGTTATTTTATCTGCCAATGAAATCTGAAGCATGAGAGTTTTGAATGGTGGCAGATAAGTGCCTTATATGTTAAAGAATAGCCAAATCAAATGAGGGGATTAATGTCAACAGAATGTTGAAAAATAGGAAACTGGTATTTACTTGCCTCTTTTACGGGATATGTGTATATAGTTCCCTGCCTATTTTTTATTGCCCAGTAAAATTATTTCTAACTCATACTGACTCTAATACACAGTTCAATAAGTGATGAGTCACCATTAATAAAAAAAAATACAGGAACTACTTTATTACTAGAATTTGGTAAGCTTTTTAAGGAATGTAGTAAGACCAGGATTCTTGTACAATATACTGTGCTGGTAAAGATAGGGACACAGAAGATGCATCTTGTTCAAAGGTAAGCTAGAGCAGCTTCAGGGGGATGACTATCACATTAGGATCACAATGCATTTTATGCAACCAGAGAGATTTTGGGACTAGTTTCAGAAGGCAAACACAAAAATTTGGCCTGGCACACCTATTTCAACCACGGAAAGAGCAATGTCCAAAGGCATCTTTACCCAAGCCCACTGATCCATTCAAGCCAACAGGAGGGGGACTGGTGAAAACAGCATCTTAGGAGACATGTAACTTTGGCAGGACTGATACAAGGAAACAGAACAAAATAAGTAACTCTGCTGGAACTACAAAATATGTGCACTTGTTTAGAATATTTATTGAGGTTTGACTGTAATGGAAAAACTCCACAGTAGTCTGGCTTGTACACATTTTAAAGGGAGAGACAGAGAAAGGAAGGATTCTAGTAGAAGCATTTAAAGAATTAATCTTGCATGTAGTTTAATCCCTGTAACAGTGATGTAAAATTATACATTTTGGAAAGAGAAAAGCCAGAATTTCTATACTATGGCCTTTGATGTGGAAAGCATACATTTGTTTAGTTTCGAAACTTCATTAAATATTCTTTTCCCATGTTCTTCCTGCAAATTGCTCCTTAAATCTGTCTGTGTTGACTCGATTTTTCTGTCTTCTGTTTAATTCATACTTTTTGTAAATGCAGCACTAAACTGTTTCAAATTATGGGTGTGATCCAGCACACATTTATGTATCCTATATTCCCATTGATTTTAATTAACTGGATACAAAGTTCATGAGTGATATATCTATTTTACTGAAATTCTTCACTTACTCCCATTGACCTTAAGGAAGCCAAAAGTACCACCATGTAACGTTAGAAAATTAGGGCTGGGTCCTACATTTATCTTGCCCAGGATTCTCTATGCACAATGGTGTAGATACACCTCTCCTTTTGCCCCACCTTGCTAGGTATATAAAATCATTTGTGATCCAGCAATCCCTCAAAACCGGGCAGCAGGGTGTATGATTCTTGTGCACAAGCCTCTGAACTGCGTATCTGCACCTAACATCACATAAGTGAAGAAGCAACGCCTAGCCTTCTATCATGTGTAGAGGTTCTGCCAAGTGAGTCTGTGAACTAGTCAGCAGAGCACATATGATAAGAAAATTGCACTGTATCTATTCATTATCTTCTAAAAAATCCCTACTGCTATAGAACATTTATTTTAAAAAGCAGTCTTGAAAGCTGCAGCTTGCTGCTTGCAGCTTTCACATGATTTCTTACTTAGTGGCCTTTTAATTGGCATATCGATATAAAATCATGGCACTTTATCATTATAAGATTCTGTGACAAGCTATGACTAAACATTAACGCAGGCATTCCATTTGTTTTGCAACTACCAAAACTGGAAGCAAACTAGCACAAAATTTAAGGTCTGTTTTTAGTGTTGCATGCTGGTTAACTCCAGAAGACAATGCATCTGTCTACTAAGTCATGCACTACATGACTAGAGTATTTTCAGCTAACTAAAGAAAGTGCAAAGAAAACACTTAGGCTTGGAACCAAGGGTGCCCAAGGGCAAGCAGAAGTTGCTCTTGCTCATGCAAGGGGATGTTCCTGATTTCCAAGGATTCCTCTTTCCAGTAGCAGCCCCCTAAGGTTCCAGAGGGTCTCTGACTATCAGGAGCTGCTTCTGTAGGGAAACGGGTCTATAATGAGGAAGAGCCAAGGAACCCCCATTTTGCAAGTGGAATTATGTTCTGTTGTCAGGATCCAAGGATTGTGTATTAAGATAGCACAGAATAAGTAGGCTAGGAAACACATTTCCTTTTGCAGTACTATCCATAATTATATAATCCGAAGTCAGCACATTCTGATTAACCTATTGAGTAAAGCATAAACAATAAAACTACTATCCTTGAACCAGTTGAAATTTGATTTAGTCCAACAGAATGTAATGAGAAACACCAGGATTAAAACTGAAATACTCCAATTTAAGTGGCTTGTGTACCACTGTACCATAATGTTTCCATGTTTAAACTATTTTAACTTTCACATTAATCTATACTATAAGAGCTTGTTTAGCATAATGTTTCAGAGTGGTCTGAATGCAGCTTTATAGCTTTGAGCTACAAAATTTTCTTCTGCTTCGGGATAAATCTCATTTTACATTTCCTATTTGCTTTCCACATGTTCCTATTATAAAATCATATGAAAACATTTCCCCCCCTCCATAGCCATAATTATAGGCACATTTAACAGCCTAACAAACATATTAAGAAAATGGAATGGCATATGAAAACAAAATAAATACAACAGATGTTTTTTAAAAATACATTCCTAAAACAATTCACATTTTGTTATTATATTTAAAGTGGAACACTCCTCTCCAACTCAGGGCACTAGATGTATTTGTCCCACCTGGAGAAGGAGCAGGGTGCTATACGTGCAGTTTCTGTTACTGATCCAACACTTGGGGCTCTGTATCCGGAGCTGTTGCAGAAATAACTCAGCTGTTTTTAGGACTAGATCGTGTCCTTTCATGCTAAACAGCTGATCAGCAGGATTTTAATTTCTTCGAAAGGGCTCCACAAGATCAGGAATGGTTGCCCCATCATACTTTTTTAAAAGAAATGATTTACACTCCCCCCCCCCAATTAGGATGGATCCAAAGCAACTCACAAAGATAAAAACAGATAATACTAAATCATAATATGGGTCTTGGGTTTGGTTGTAAGTGTTTTGTAAATATAACCCATTTTAAGACTGCAATCCTGTGCACACTTACCTGGGAGTAAGTCCTACTGACTTATTTCTCAGTACATGTTTAAGTCTTCTCTGCAGATGACTAATTAGAAAATAAAATCTAATAGTTAAATAAAATCCTTACGAAGATTCACTTGAATCCCTGTAAGAAGAAATATTCAGAGGATGACTCTCACTCTACAGACACTCACACCTAATGAAGTGAATGAAAATTATACAGCAGGGCACTTTAGGGATCACAGTCCAAGATGATAAGACATAGCTACAGCTGGAAGATGTTTGGCTTAAATACCAACTTCATGATTTCTGTATTCAGTTTGCAAGGCATGCCCAAAAAGAAAAAGAAAAACCATCAGCGGTGAACAAAAGTGGAAGTGTCTTGTCATCCATCACAGCATATCTCTATTCCGAAATTGCTTCCAACGCTGCCTAATGTGTTTGCTTGTTACAGTCATCACACAAACATAGTAGTCCTTCAACCCATATTTCGGTTTTTTCTGTTAATGAAAACAAACATAATTACATCTACATTAAAGTAGGTCTGTATATAAAATACAAAACAAAACAATAAACTCTAAACAGCTTACAAGAGCTAGGTGTTTTGGCTATGTCCCTTACCATGCAACATTAAAACAAAACTAAGAAAACCTGGCAGTGCCTCTGTTAACAGCTAAGGTAAAGGACAATATATTTGTTTAACCCTATTCAAAATATAATCTGTTTTATAAAAGTAGGATTTTTTTAAAAAGTCCTGATACCTTAATTTTTTTAAAAAATAAATGTTTAAATATTAACACTCAAAGCAGAAAATAAAATTCTTAACTCTTGTAGAATTAATGTAGGTTCGAGCCAGATAAAGTGTAGATTCTTGAGCAAAAACTCTAAATCTCTAACCATTGAAAAATGCAGGCTTGAAGCTAGCCACTTGACCATGGGAAATAAAAATCATTCATAAGCAAATAGCTTGCAAGAGAAGAGTGCTGAATCTCCTGTGTGACTTGTGAGCAGGCAGCATTTTAATTACACATATCCTCCATTTCCTGGTTCCATTACACTTAGCCAAGGCAAAGAAAACTATACTTCTTGTGTGAATTCTATTTTACAGAATTTGCGGACAAGCATGAATATAGCAATCTGTGACCCTGAACAACAATTATGCATGTCCTATAAATAAAATGAAGGGCAATCTCAGAAGCATTATGGTGTTCAGGACGGCAACCCATTAAATCCTCTTACATACTGGACATGAAGGTTATATTAATTAACAACATACATATTCTTCTGGGAAAATCAAAATACTAAAATTTCCATCTAATTTGAAGTGTATGATGAACACTTAAACATTTCCAGAATAAAACATCACATCTCCTTTGTGCATAAGTAGCAACAACAGAACATAAGATTCCTGCTGGTTCAGACGAACCTTTATCTATTCTAGCATTCCAGCCACACTGGACAACCAGAGGAAGTCCTCAGGAAGCTCATAAGCAAGACATGAGAACAAAAGCTCTCTCCTTTGTGCTCCTCAGCAACTGGTATTTAGAGGCATACTGTCACTAGAATATACAGATATCATGAAGCCACTGGCAGCCTTATTCTCCATGAATGAGTTGATCACCTTTTAAAGCTGTCCAATTTGGTGGCAGTGAATGGCATATGTTAACTATGTACTATGTGCAGAAGTACTTCTTTTTGGTCTGCCTGATATCTCAAACCATTCAGCATAATTGGATGAGCCAGTGTTCTTGTATTATGGGAGGAGAAAAAATTCTATTGATTTTCTCCATACCATACATTTTACCTACCTCAATAATGTCCCTGGTTCTGCACAGGGCAGATGCTCTAGGCCCCTAATCATTTTAGTTGCTCTTTCCTGGAAAATGATCAAGGAGCTGGAGCAACTCCCTTTATAGAAAAATGTTTTCTAAATGGGGGAACGGGGCAGAATGATCCTGAAATATCTAATGGTTGCTTATACATTTTTTACTATCAAATGTGTTTATATGAAGTATAGGTCTCACTGTGCTGTTGTGGGAAACACTGTCTTGGAGCTTAACATGGCTCCATATATGCCAGAGGTCACCAATGTGGTGCCCGTGGGCACACGTACTCCCATAGAGGCCTTCCCTGGTACCTCCCCCCTCTGCATGCTGAAAATTGTGCTGAAATAAGGAGTTTGTGGTAGCCAACAGCATAGGTTGCAGTGCCTGTTTGGTATGGTGCCCACAACAATTTCTCCAATTTTCAAAGGTGCCCATGGACCCAGAAAGGTTGGCAACTCCTGATATATGCTAACAAAAATAGGTAATACAGGAGTCCTGTGTCATGAGCCTCCAAATTCAAGCCAAAAGACTTGGACATAGATTTTCCTAGAACAAATAAGTTTATACACAAGTTCCCCGAGGAAAATGGAGAAGAAATTGAAATTTTGATTCTGAATGAACTGAACAAAATTATACAGAGTTCACTTTCTGATCAGTTATTTTGATTCTCAGTTGTCAAATGAAAGGTCAGCTAAGTACAGTGATAAAACTTTAACCAACAGATTTAGAAACACAGTGCATCATAGACATACCATAGTTTATCTGCTATTGAGTTCCTTCTTCACACAGGATTTGAAAGTGGTGTATTTTTGCAGGGTTTTGTAGCCCTGAGAAGAAGACAAAGAAGTGTGCATGTGCAAGCATCATGTGAAGGCAGCCAAAGGTGAGTGTTAGGAGAAGATAGCATGAAAACAATAAAGGAATTGTACTTGTTAGTCATAGTGTAGAAAACTCTGCAAAAATAATTTTAGGCTAAAATATTCATACACCTGTGATACAATTATGTATCATACCACAATATAGGAATAACTGTTAATTTCAAAGATGCTAGAATAGAGAGTGTTGTTGCTTAAAGTTCTTGGTAAAGAAGAGAAAAAAATGCATGTTTTAAGCAAAGATCTTGTATCTACATCTTAAATAAGGTATTATGGAAACAACCCCCATACTCTACTTTCATACAGCTTGTGTGAAATTACTGTACAAACATCCCTACAAATTTTGGCAATACAGTCACTGTCCACAGGGTGGCAGTTAAACATACCAGATCTCAGAGCAGAAATTCGTAAAGTTCAGGTTAGAAAACAATTACAAAATCCCTTAATACATTTGCAAAGGAGACATAATATTCAGAATTACGAACAGTGTATATAGGGAATGCTAAAAGAAGATTGGCTAACAACACATTTTAACCCAACACTAATAACAAGGACAATCAGCAACTCCACACTACCGTGGCACTTTTAAAAAACAACATTCAGAGCACAAGCAATGAAATAAATTTTGTCACCACATTTTGAAGGCAAGGTATTACATAGTTGGCTTGCCAATTCAAATGACTAGAAAAGGTGTATAGATTCATTCTTCCTTCTTTAAAGGCCTCATAGATCAGATATGATGTAAGAAATCAAAACTGGGGTTGTATGAGTATTTCAGCCCACTTGCTTTAATCCTGATTTTGAGTCGCCCTTTGAGCTTGGCAGGGCACAAAATAGCTAGCACCCCACCTCATATGTTCCCCACGCTTCCCTGGCAGTTCCCATGTCCTAATGGGGAAAACACACACCCATACATTGGAGAAGGGCATTCCAGTTGGCTGAGGATCATGATATTTGCCACTGAGGTGAAGCGCTGCTGTGTTCCATGCCCTCCGCCACCTGGTATTCCCTCTTCAAGACATTTTTTCGTTAGAGAAGAGAGCTTTATCAACTGTTTGAATAGTCCAGCCCAATCGTTTATGGGCTGAGCAAGTCGGTAGCGGCTCATTCCTACTTATAATCATTAACCTAAAATATTTATATTGTACATGTATTTCAGGCTTATAAATAAATGCATTCTGATTACTGTATTTTTGGTAGAAGACTAAGCCTAATTTAAAATGTGAAATTAAATGCATAATTACACAACAGTATTTACAGAATTACTTAAAAATACATTGTGACAAAATTCATTTCTGCTGACTACTATTTAGTTTCTTTATTGTCTCTAGGGGGCAGTCAGGAGTACAGATTAAACTTCTAAAACTTCTAAAACTACAGGCTATCAAAAGCTTTTAGACATCAATTTCCCAGTCTAGAAATTGCAATGATGAGACTGAACCTTCTAGATGATTAACTGGGGACCTACTTGATCAACAGCAAGCTGAATCAGAATGTGTCTGTAGACTTGGCTATAGAAAAAACAAACAAATCCCAGTTCTGTAAATTAAGGGTTAGTAAACTAAACATATACGGAGGTAGTTTTAACTTCAATAATAACCATAGATTAATCATGAGTTTCATTTCAAAGTCAGACTAATGTTACTGTTTATCGCAACATACACTATGAATTTTGGCACATCCTTAAATAATAATAAAATACACATCTATGTGATGCAGTTCTTGAAACCCTTTCAAGTTGAAGAGCAGAACAGATATCTATGAAAAAAATGGCTATATTTCAAATAGTTTTGGAAACAGCAAAAATTTAATAGTTTATGGACGGCTTATATCTCATTCATAAGTTTTCGTGATTAAGAGATAATCCATGTTCTTACCTTGAACCCTCGTTGCAATCGGTCTTTCATAATACCAATAAATTCTTTGTAGCTCAGCTGATCATCTTTGTCTACATCAAAGATCTTGAAGACAGTGCTCACTAAATGCATTGAAAGCTTCAAACCTGTAGCTACATATACTGCACGCTTGAATTCATCTACGGAAACAAGGAAATTTAGCAGCTAGCCAAAATCATCATGCAACACAGTGATTACCATTACTTATTATTGAAAAAAACTCATTTTCCATCACATATATATATTTGTCAAGAGCACTGTGTTCTAAGTGGCCCCTTATTATAGGTTAGTTGCACAGCTGATCTCTTGAAAAAACAACAACTGCTAATGCAAATAATAACTGTGGAGTACAGAATACATCTAATATACATGTATGTTTTCATTCGTGTGGTTTGAGGTGGTTTGCTGGAGGCTTATAGCGTCTTGTATTATTTGAATTTATTCACAAATATAGTTTGACCATAGGTGGAAGCATGCAGCTTAACTCCTGTGGAGCTGCTGCTTTACTGCTTCTGTGGCTTTACAAACATATACCTATATAAAAAAGTATATAAATGGTTCATAGATGTGTCTTCCCTACCACACTTGCATATATTTATTAAATGGCAAGAAAACTCTTAGATACACAGAGGCATTTTATGTCTCATAGGTGTCAGGGAACTGCCATCGGAGCCAAAGGCGGAGGGAAGGCTCCGGGGGGATGCCGGAGAGGGTCCCAGTAGGGAGAGAGGTAGCCCATCTGCTGGGGAAGGAAATCAGTGTAACACCAGTGCGGAAGGGGGGCAGATGGGGGAATCGGAGAGGAGGCTCCAGGACTCCTCGCCGGAGACCAGCGGGGAGAGCACGGGTACTCCGCTGCCCACACCCTCCCTGCGCAGAAGACTTCCGCACAGGGAGAGTAGGAGGAGACTTGGCGTCAAAGAACTTCTTTGCTGGAAGAAGTTCAAGAAACGCCTACTGACGGATTCTGCCAGCGACTGAGACAGCCACGATGAGAGAGGCTGTCCAGACAGAAAGGGTTCAACCAGGTAACCTAGCCAGGAGTGGCGGCAACCTACGCACGAGCAACCCCTAGAACCATTACACATAGGATTCAAACATGGATAACTGCTATGCAGTACATACATATTTAAAGGATTTTGGAGAGGTCGAAAAGCACAATACTTGATGCTCACACAAATATTAAACAAAACAGATTTCTTTTCTTTTAATATTAAAAAAGTATTAACTATTGACATTAAATATTTTTACCTTTTCCTATGGAACGGTTTGCAAAATTATACATCTGCATTGCAATTGCGAAGTCTTCTAGATTATTCAAAAACTGGAAAAATGATCTGAATTCATCAAATGTAATGCCCTATGAATAAAAGGATATTGACATTAGTACTACAGAATCAGAATCAGCAGCAGCAGCATTCTTTAATTGTTTGGCAGCAATTTTGCAGCTGATAATGGAGTCAGCATACAATGGAGATAGTTCTATACCTCTCATAGCTCCCTTCCCTCACAAAGTTGCAATCCTGCTGCCACAAGCCAAATTGTACTAGTAGAGAAATAATGCCTCTCTCAGGAGGAGTCAGGCCTCTCCCATGTGGCCAAACGGACAGAAGCTTTATTGGTAATACCTGTTCCCCACTTACTGGGAAACACCATTTGTGGCATGGTGTGGTGATGGGAGGAGGGAGCAATTGGCTGTGGGAGCTTCCTGCACGGCTGGGAAGTGCTTTGTGTGCTTTCTAGTCAAGTGGGAAGTTGGGAGTTGAGTGTTGTTTTACTGTCAACAAGCCATGATCTGAAGCCATCTCTTATTGTTGGCTTACTCACTCTGGTTTATTTTGCCTATGGCTTGGCATTAATGTATGAACCTAGTATCCCTCCTTAACCAAACTACTTAGACGTTTTGTTACTATCATGTGGTATACACAATTCGTTTGTATAGAAATAAATAAAATAAAAACCATGGTTTGTTTGCCCCCTCCATCCCGGACACTCACTAAGCTACAAAGGGACATGGTAAGAGCAGCTGGAAACTAAACCAAATTTTGGAGAAACAAGTCATAGTTTGTTTGATCTGTGCACAACTGATGGTTAAATTTTAGTTTTATAAGCAATCCATGACTTTGATTTATGTGCATATGATACAGATATGTCCAGAATTCAAAACATGCAGTTAGGTTTCTTTGCTCTCTAATTCTTTCTCCCATTTCCCTAACTCTGAATATTTGGTCTTTTTTTTAGGTGGGGGTGGGGGTACATGACCCATTTTATTCTTTAACAAGTATTTATATTTTTAATGCTTGTTTATACCACTATTATTGTAGCACATTCATTGTTTCTTTTTAGTACTGTGCTTTAAGTATATTTGTTGAGTGCCTTATCTGTGTCACGATACCGAAGCACTTTGGGTGTTTCCCCCCTCCTTTTAACTACCACTAACTGCTAAATGATGCTTACTTGCTCTTTTTTAAGCCCCTCAAACTAAAATGTCAAGAGTTGAAAAGTGTGATCATTTGAAAATAAGCTGAACTGTTTACAAGTAGATCTAAAACAGTTAAACCTGATCTTTCTGTAAACAAATAAAAGCGAATTATATCCAAAGCACTCCATGCTTGAAAGAGTCCCTGCAACATCAACCCTATTGGTTTGCACTGATGCATTTAGCTGCCACTATGTCTCTTTGTTGCTTAAATTTACTCCAGACAACACCTTTGTTTCCTAACAAACAGTTTAGCTAGCAAGGTTATTTGCTTTTGCAACTGCCCAAGTTCTTTGAAATCCTCTGTTTAGTCACTTCTAAGAACCACTCACTCCACACTGGCCTTCTACAAATCATCCTGTGTTAAGGAGACTGAAGAACTAGATTAAACATGTTAAAAGAGCGTATACCCTAAAAATGGGAAAACTGCACATGGGACTTTGTGGCATTCTATCACAACTAAATAATATGTCATTTAGTATAGATTATATTGAACATAATCTTTTGCAAATTAAAAAACCCAACAACCTAAACACGCTCATTCAATAATATTTATGACAAATTCTACCCATCCCACTAAAAGGTGAGAACTACAAACACCAAAGCCCTAACTCGTGACCTTTCCAAGTAACAGTCAAAGTCCTGGTTAAACAGAAATGTTTTAGCTTTTTGCCTAAAAGCAAACAATGATGTCCCCAGGTGTATATCCTAGGGAAAGCATTCCAGAAATGGGGAGTCACTACTGAGAAGCCCCATGCTAAAACCGTTTTACCAAAGACAGCTATCTGGCTACTGAATTTTGCACTAGCAAAGGCAACTCAATGCATAATGCACTGCCGCATTCTAACCTAGTACATCTGTAAGCTGCTTCAAGCGTCCCTTTGTACTTTGTAGATGGGGCTGTTCTGGCTACATAAAGACTCACACTCAATAGTTTACTTTTGGTAGAAACGAGTGGGGCACTTCAAAAAATGTTGTTATTCTTTTCATGGTTCAGCCACTCCGTCCCATTCCCCCTGGTTTTCTGTCCCAGACCAGTCAGCATTCTGTGCCTATTACCATGATCAGTTCTCATTGGGTGGGTGTGCTTTTTTCTCATATTGGGACACAGTGGTCTACAGTCCCAACTACATTAAAATCTTTGATTTCTCCACTGAATTCTATCAGAAGCTGTAACTTTCATCATTTGGGGACTTATCTACATACCCTCAAACATTAGTCCAATGAAAATAGAGATGTTGACCCAGTCATTTTGGATGGCTTCCAACATTTTATATATAATAATAAATAATAAAACATGAAAGATTAAAAACTTCCCTATACAGGGCTGCCTTCAGAAGTCTGCTCAAGGTTGTATAGTTTCTTATCTCATTGACTTGGGGGTTGCATAACTGCATGCTCTTCAACATTTCTCCAATGAAAATAGGGATGTACCAAGGAAAAATAGAACATTCTGGGATCAAATCAGAAACCAGGATAGCTTCTGTAAATCTGGGACTGTCCCTGGGAAATAGGGACAGTTGGAGGATCTGTATCTATATGAACCAGGAAATGACCTGTCCAGACAAGGAAAATAGTCTTCCTACCATTTTTATATCTCTGTGCATCTTGCTTTGTATTTATCTTTCAGTTACTCATTTCCATTCTCCTTTCCATCTGGTTTTCAGTTTCTTTCCCTCTCAGTCAGTCAGCATTCCCTGGGCACTGTGCATGCTTAATCCTCATTGGGCTGTTTTAAGGGTTTACTCCTTAGGGTTCCCCTGAGTCTGCCGATACCTCCCTCTTGTGTCTAGCTGTTGATGTATGGTTTACATGAGCAATGGCACTCAAAGAACTGGACTACAAATAGAATATAGAAGAATTCTGTTATAATGAGCCATCCTGAGATAACATCAAAAGCCAGTGAAAGGTGTTGTGTAAAGTATTACTCATTCCTGCCTATGTGCCCAGGCACCATTCAGATGCAAAATGAACCCAGAATGTCCATGTCCAAAAACTCACTGAAAATGAATGAAACCTAAGTGGTTAACAGGACCTGCCCATTTTTTGTTCTCCAAAACTATTTGGCCTATTCCAACCCACCCTTCTTTCCCACAAATCCCACCTGCTCAATAGCAGGTATCACATTTCAGCACATGTAACTGGAAGTGATTGACATTTTCAGGTAACTGTGTTTTCAATCAGGCTATGATTTTGTGTGTGTGTGTGTGCGCGCACAAACACACGCAGATGTTTGGGTCTTTGCTGAAAGCTTACTTGCTCTTCTGGCATGCTGCAGCGTACGTTTTCCAGATAGCTTGATGTATTTTCCACATTTGTATATCTTAAAAGTATATGAGCAAAGTCTTCCTCACTGATGGTAGTCATTCCATTAGAATATGAAAGAAATTCTATTTCAAGAACTTCAGTTTGGAGATTATCCATAAACCTGAATTATAAGAGGTATTGATTTAATAAATCTTATAACTCCATATGTAGAACCCCGCCCCCTAATATTTCAAACATTCCAACTCATGCAAAATTAATAAAATTGCAATTTCATTAACAGCTGATGGACTTCTTGGTTTGACCTAGTAAAGGAAATTTATCATTGGCAGATCATTTCTGCGCACACAAAAATATTGTGAAATATATAGAGGTGAAATTTGTGGGGCTAAAATGTGATGCAATGACAATAGAAAGATATTTTTATGCCAAGGGCTGCAAGCTTCCAAAGTTACACGGTTTAGTATTGCACTCTACACATGTCTATTTAAAATTCAGTCCCATTATTTTAAAAAGGTCTTACTATTAGGTAAGTATATAGGATTGCAGCTTAACTCACACTGGTTTCAGTGTGTTTTAAGCTACCTAAATGTGCAAAGAGTTTAAGCCAAGGAAAATAAACACGATGCAACACTCATCAGAGCCAATCCACAGCTCTGCAAGTGCACATGGAGCTGCTGTGTGAACAGGCAGGACAGCTTCACATGGAGGACAACAAAGCAGCATTTACAGAGCTGTCCCTGTTACTAAAGCCAATAGTGAAGTCCTTTTACAAGAATAATTTTCCCTATCAGACCTTATAGCACATTGGAGTAATTATGGGGAAAGTAGAAGAAACACATTTCTCTACAATTGAGGTGGGGCACCTATGGCCGTCTAGACTACAACTCATGTAATTCCTGACCAATGGTCTTACTGGCTGGGGCTGATGGGAGTCGGAGCTGAACAACACCTGTGGGTGGGTGTGGGACAGGTTCTCACTACTGTACCACAGATTTCAATGTCAGAGAGGCAAAGAGGTGCTGTTCCTTTTAAGTTCAGAAAGTTACACTATTTCTAAAAGGCGCAGAAGTACAGGTGGAGACTGATTATCTGTAAAGGTGGCTTCTCACCTGTCATCTATGTATAAAATTTGTGACCAATTGCAAAGCTCTATAGAGATCCAGTAAAGATAATTCTCAACATGGAATTCAGTGCATAAACAAAGGCTCTAATGCAATGGAACTACTGGATCATTCAGACCAAAAAATTCAAAATAGATATAAGCCAAAAAATCAGGATTTACCAGTGGCTGCAGAACTGATTCATATTCACTACAGAAAATAAGATACATCATATTTTCATATTTTGATCTTCTAAATGGGGTACTAATGTATTTCTAAGTACTACAGAATGCTATGCAGAAAACTATAAAGGTAACAAAAAGTTGTTTTTAGTTGCCCTATAGGCATCTGGTTAGTCACTTTGAAAATACGATGCTGGATAAGATAGGCCTTTGGGGGCTCTTCTCAGGTTCTAGGCTATGGAAGCCATAGACTCCAAAGTTTTTTTAAAAAAACCAGAAAGTACCTTCTAAAAATATTTAAGGATACAGACAATATTATTGGCATGTATGATTTCTAATATGACATATAAAACAGGATTTGTACATATGAAAAGTATTAAAAGTAAGGCTCACCTATAAAAATCTTCAAAGTTAAGCTCAGCCTTTCCTTTCTTACCAAAAAAGTGTATCAGCAGTGTAGTATCGGATAGTAAACCAGTGATGTCATCTGCACGCTTAAAAACATATTAAGTATATTAATTGCTTAGAGCTGCAATAGCTTTAGTAACAAAAATAAAATCCACAGAATTTTATCAGTGCACTTTGTGTTTGATGCATCCATGCATCAAATACATATTAAAACTATTTGCAAGATCAGTTAGTAACGTTAGTCAGGTCATACTTCCCCACACAATATTTTACATTACATTTTAGCCTACCAAACTTAAAAAGTGATATGGTATGATCAAATGTGTTAAATAAAACCAGGGACCTGGGTGAAATCAATCAGAATAGTGAAATAATATAGTGAAAATAAGTTGGCACATTTTAAAAATGATTATGATGATGGAAAGGCAACCATCATTGCAAACGTATTTCTCATCCATAGCTTTGTTAATGTCAAAAAAGTGAAGGGAATATTTTGTTGGAGAAAATAATAAGGCAGGCCTAACTCAGGAGCCTGTGGTTTTTTGTTTGTTTTGATTTTTTGACAGTGATGTCATTTCTATGCAAAAATCTGTTCATGCAAAAAATGTCAAAGATTCTACTTCCTATGAGGAAAAACCTCAAGTGTGAACAGAGGAAGAGTGGAATTATAAGAAACAGTTCTATAGTTAAGAATACATATTCACACATTGAGATATTTTTAACCTACAGCTTCTGAAATTGTAATCTAATAGGAGTAGCAGGTCCTCAATATGAGACCTGACTAGCTGACTTTCAGATTCACCTAGTACACAAACCAGATATATTTAAGCAGTATGCAGGATTGTGTATTTTCTTTTCTATTTCTGGACAGCATTATTAACCGTTGCATCTATTTTTTATTGCTTATTTATCAAAATACTGCCCTTCTGAAAATGCAAGCTTGACCTACAGTACCAGCTCAAATAATCAGCTCCCAAAGACCTTGCAGCAAGGCTACACTTGATTCATACAAATGACACTGACAGGTGACCATTATATCAATAGCTTCCAAACCCTCTGAGTACAGTTGGTCCTGAAATGGTGCAAATTCAATTTACAAGCACATGACAGATGCACCCCAGGACTTGTATTCTCTAGGTCATCCCAAGTGACCAAGGGAATTGCTTACATGGTAAAACAAATACAATTTCTATGAATTTTATATATTCATCGTTATACTCAATACTCTACAAGTAAACCACCTATATCTACATGAAAATAATTATATGAATTAGTGGATGAGAAAGAAAAAATGGTTATAAAAGGGCTTAACATGGAGGATAATTTGTTGTGTATGAACTATATCCTAGGGTGGATATACAAAGACCAGAAAATTCTTTATTCTAGGCAGCAGTACTCTTGTCAGGGTCTATGCACATACTGTATGAAACCCTTTAATTCTGACTTCCCAAATAAAATGCTTTTCCTCTTCAATTCCCATAGCCTCAAGTCAGTGTTTATTAATGCATTCATTCCTTTCATTGAAAGAAGTCTAAATGTCTCCTCTTCCTCAAATGTCTTCCTTGTCAGTCTCACATAAATATGAAAATTGCCTTTCGTCTAGCTGGGAGGTCTGTAGATGCACCAAACGGGGCTTAAACCCATCAGCAAGTAAGACACAGAGCTAATGTCAGATGAATTTTCAACTTGCAGTGGGGATTCTGTGCCTTCAATAGATATGTAGAAAATGGAATCTTGGCAGGCACAACCCCTCATGCAACAGTATGAACAATTGCCCATGCCTAATCCCAACTTCATGTCTACTAAAATTAGCTGTGCCCAAATAATCCTAAATGGAAGCTATTCCAATGTACAATGGTTGTTACCAGGCAGAGCTGTTCCTTTAATCCACAGGTAGCCAACAAGCAGCTCCCAGTTGCATTTTATGTTGTCCCTCAATTTTTTATGATGCTGTCCCATTCCATCCTTACAGTGTTTTCTGCTTCCAGTTGGTTTCCTCTGTATTTTTCCTGGGTTTTTATAATTTCATCCCACTTTTGCTATGTAAGGAGCAGCATTCTAAATTACCGTAGCTAATTTATAACACTTTTGTTTCTGGCTCCATATACAACCAGCATGTGTCTCTGACAGATTTATTCCAAGGGAATGTACCCTTCAATAGAGAAAGGTTGCCTACTTATGCTTTTATGAAACATAAATGTTTATCATCAGATGGTTCATTAAATGGAAAGCACTGAACCTATCTATACCTTTCAAATGTAGAAGACTAGTTCTTAAGATAGGCATACTTATAACTGTGAAGTATCTTTTCAAAATACAATATAATACAATAAAATAAAAAGATATCCAATATTCCAAGAATGAAATAAAACCAATTATTTCACTGTTAGTAAACAAGAAATATGGCAGTTTAAAGTATGTGTCAAATGCATATTTTTCTTATGCAACAAATATAACAAATGTAAATACCAAACAAAAACCATGGGGAAAAATAAAAACAACGCAAGGAGGAGGGGTAATTAAAAAGTTTAAAATATTTACAATATACACAATAGAATGGAATATGAAAAAGAAAAAGAAAACTGAAGAACATCTCATGGACCATACAGAGGTTTTGTTATACCTCTGCAAGGTCCGAAAAGAGTGCCTGGCTTGTGCTACGTCTCAGAGTATCCCAATAGCTTCTTGGAACCAGGTCCTCTCCTTCTGTTTTTAGCACCTGCAAAATTTTCAAGATGCATAGGTTTGGTGGGTATAAAGTAATAAAAACCAAGAGCAGCTTATACACTTTTACATCTTTGCTAACTAATCTTCAAAAAGAGAAAGCTCTATGTGGTCACCTTCTCCATTTTTCCTACACAAAGAAAAATACTGTATAATGCATAATACATTGCCCTTTTCAAAGCAGCAGAGTCCCTGATAATCACTTTCTTATTCATGATGATGTAATCTTATTAGGTTGATATTGCCATCTTTAAAAAATATTACAATATAGCTTTGCACATGGGATCAAAACATAGTTTTGTACACATTTTAAAAAAGAATGATTCTCATGTGATAAGTTTTCTTCTTCATGTGCCACTAGAATCTTAGACTTTTTTTCCATTCTATTTAAAAAGTTAGTCATGGTTCTCCATTGAAGTAAATGGGATTTCAGTCACGACTAATTTGTCTCACTGAACTCTTTCCTAATTGGAGCCTATGAACTCTCTCTTAATTGGAGCAAGTTTGTGAAGTATTACTCTTACTAGATTAAAAAGAAGTATGGGGAAGATCCCACCCAATTAAGAATTTTAAGTTCTATTTATTTCAATGGGAAATACTTAAGCACACGCTTAACTATCTCCTACTGAAATCAGAAGAATTTAGTGACATTTAATTTGGCTGGATTATGCTCGGAGTTTTGATCAGTAGCCAACATATATGAAAAGATAAAAAGAACACCCTCTCTATATATTATATAAATATTTCTAGCTACTTTAGATATTTTTCTTCAGGCAAGAAAGCTATCTTTAATTATATGTGAAGAAATAATGTTCTCATGTTGGGTTTTCTGTAGTGACATGTCAGATGACACAGAGTGAAGCTTACAACGTGCATGTTTGTATACTATGTCATCCTTCTGAAAAGTACCAAAATTATTCAGCTGACATTCTGATCCATAAGTACAGTCAGAAATAAGTACCATCAATTTGAACTAAAATTCCAAACACGTGTGCTTAGAAAAGTAGTGCTGGGACTCCAAACTTGCCAGCAATATTGCATGAAGATTTGTGCTGAAATCCTGGACACAGTTATGTTTTGAGAGGCTGAAGAGGATGGAGTGTGGTAGACAGAGAACTGAAACAAAAAAACAGGTATTTCCAAGACAAGTCCAGTAGTCAGCTCATAGATCCTTCATGAGATAACAAGAGGTGTGTGGGGTGGGTGGGAGTCCATGTTTGCTGCTATCACAGCTGCCAGTCCTGATCATCTTTAAGTAGTTAATGAAGGGGTCTTTCTCTATACAAAACAATTTTGTGCTTGTGGTTTGGTTGGTTTCTAAAAAACGTTATATTCAGTTGAGGGTATTGGCCATGGTGCTGTACTACAGCATCTCTTTCTTCCTCCTTTCCTATGGTTCAAAATGCAGAGGACATGCAGTAGGAAACCACGCCATTAAATATTTGATATCTTTTTTTCCCCCAAGGGCCATCATAGCTGTCATTTGAAAACACTATAAATCACACCTCAGTCTTCCCCTGATGTGAATGGATGTGGCTTATTCCTATAAATGCAGCATCCTTAAATGTTATAGTGACAAGATGGGGTAGCGTATCTAGAAAGGTGAGAAACACATACTATAAACAAGGAAGTGAAATACTTCACAGTAGGCAGAAGGATCAGGGCAGAAGGGAAGATTTTCCATCCTACACTTTGCCTGTACTCACATTCCTTGCATGTCTCTGTGTTTGCTGTCGGGTCCCTTTGAGAGCTGTCTCCATGGAGATAGTTCTCAGCAGCTGCTGCAATACGAATATTTCAAGGTGGGAAATCCCTCACTTTAGCTGGGTTACTTCAACAGCAGGTGTGTATCACCTCCATGGAGACAGCTGTCAGTGGGAGATACTGATGGATGACATTACTGTAAAATCCACCTTTTTCTGGGATTTCCTGTCTTGAGTAGGATTGCTCAGGTGACGGTGAAGATAGGTCTCACTGGAGACTGTCCTGCGAGTCCATGGAGGCAGCTCTTAGAAGCACACAGCACCAGGTGTTGACATCTACTTAAGCCTGATTTCCTGGTGACTATGGTTGCTCGATGGGCAACAGGTTCCTGTGACACCAGCGATACTGATGGAATTAATTACAGGACACATTACAGTGGTGCAATCTGAACTTGCCAGTAAAAACTATCCTCTGTTGGGAAGTAGGGGCTCACCAGAACCCAAGAGCTGCTTGGTCATACAATCTATTTAACATAATATTCTGTTTTCTTGTAGTGGTTCTGTCAGATTCCATAGCAAAATTCAGAAGTAGACACAGTGAAGCAGTTCAAGGTGATTTGTGATTATGCTGCTAATGTTTGTACCTAAGACCATTTACATTAAATATACAGGGTGATTCATAATGAAGTATAGAGTTTCCAGATGCTGTAAGATAGTAACAGGTGACAACACGGACCACAACTGGGAACCGTGAGGTAGATGTACTCAAAGTTTGTGTTCTGCTACTGAGGGAAGTGACATATGCGATAACGCATGTGTCATGTGACTAGTCAGGCAAAATGGCTGTGTGTACAGTGCAGAAGGCCTTTTTGTGTTCTTGAATTGAGCAAAACATGATCTGTAACTGTTGTGCGATGGCATTTTCTGAGATTCAGGAAAAAACCTCCAAGCAGAAAATGTATCTATGATTGGCATAAAATATTTTGAAACTACGGGCTGTTTGTGCAAACTTAGAAGTCCTGGATGACTGTGAGTATCGGAAGAAGTCATCAATAGTGTTTGCACCGCCATTCAACGAAGCCTGGGAAAATCAACGTGTAGGGTGAGTCACGTTTGGGCAGAAATGGATTACCGGTTTGATGTGTGTCATGTGACAAAGGGTGCACACATAGAACATCTGTGACTGTTTATTAAAAAAACCCTTTAAACATTCCCCTACAATTCTGTTACAAGTAACATAAGATATATTACATTCTTTTTTTATAGTGCATTGAAACTGTATACTTTATTATGAATCACCCTGTAGCGTAGTATATATGTAGGCAGCAGAATGCAGAAATGGTTGGGGAGCCACGTCCAAATTGTTGCATCCATCCCACACCTAATAATGAATGCCCTTGGCAGATAGTAGCAGTTGTGCTTTTCCTGATGGAGGGTGTCCTGAGGAAGAGTTATGTTGACTATAGAGGGAGAGGGTTATGCGTCCCTCAACAACAAAAGGATGATGAGTAGTTCCCTGACAGCCTTAGGTTCAAGGGATAAGCAGATGCATGTAGCAGGCTGTCAAGGCATTTAATATGTGGGGGCGAATATCAGATCCTCTAATGTCTCGCTCCTTCCATGTTGACTGGTATCACAGAGTTGGGTACAAGGGGAAGTGCTCTTAATGCTGACTCAATGCTCAGAGGCATCATTCATATGCTGAGACAGGAAAAACCATTTGTCACTGCACTCATACAACTTTTAGGTAATGCCAAAGTGGCAAATGAAGGTGTAAGCACTTTCCACAAAACTATCTTGAGCTCCCTTCTTCTTTTCCAAATCTTTCAGGTGCTGCAGCAGAGATGGCAGAACCAAGATTCTTCTTTTAGGGGTTGAGGGGAAGATATTGAATGAATCTCAAAAGTTGAGAATCTTATGAACCCAGGAGTGACAGGACCCTGGACATCCATCTATGCAGCCATGTGCTGGCAGCTAAACCTAGATATTAATCATTTTTCAAACTTAGATTTCAGGGAATAAACAAGTGTGAAGAAAGACTGGGGGGGGGGGAGGTTTCTAGAGGAGCAGCCATGTTAGTCTATGGCAGCAAAAACAACCAAGATCGTTGTGGCACTTTAGAGAGTAACAAATTATGGTTAAAAACTTTGTGAACTTTTGTGAATAAATCTGTTAGCCTTTAAAGTGTCACAAGAATTTTTAGTTACAGATAGGTAGCCGTGTTGGTGTATCTGAAGAAGTGTATCTGAAGAAGTGTGCATGCACACGAAAGCTCATACCAAGAACTAACTTAGTTGGTCTTTAAGGTGCTACTGGAAGGATTTTTTTTTGTTTTGACAAGAATTTTTGTTTTTGTTTTTTAAAATAGTATTCTTTAGCTTTACCAAGTTACACTGCATTTAACTTCATGGCTAATTCCAGCAGTAGAGAAAAGAGTTTTGAAGTCTGCATCAATACATTAGAAACAAAATTAATATATATTTTCATGTAGCTGTGATTGCCAATCTTAATTTATATAATACATGCAAATACCTTTCTCATTAGCTTCAATGGTATGTGGATTGCTTCATAAGCATGCATATATTTAATTTTGCATCATTTACATGTTAAACCTAAAATTCTACAGATGAGAACCTTCACAATAAGTATTATCCATGACATAAATAGTTCTATAGTTGTGACCTATAATTGTGATCAATGCACTTTTTTCAAATAAAATCTGTTTAGAAGAGTCAAGGAAGGCTTCACAACAAAATGGTAGTACAGTATCTTTCCATTTCAACTTGGGGCTAAGTGACAGGACAAAAGAAAAACTTCTCAGGCCTGTGCCTAGAAGTTACGGACCAATGGAGGAAATTGCGAGACAAATACTCATTGCCATAATCCTCATCATGGGATTCTCAGGCAAATATATTGTGTGAACAGTGAAACAAGGATAACGGTATCCAATTCTGGGGTACCATTCCTAAAATGTATTTGCTTGAAAAGCCCAATCCAGGAATAATTCTGTGAGAGGAAATGTATGTGTGTGCATGTGTGCATATACTGTAAAAATACTAGCTAACTAGCTTGATACTTGATGTTAACTGCTGTATTCAATACCAAGGATGTTAGTATTTTTACATTATACATGCTTCATCTGCATAAAAGATTATACTAAAGTCATTAGCTGTGACATTTTCAGTTCAGTCAGTCATGAGGCACATGCAGTGCATGCAAAATACAGTGGTGCCTCGCAAGACGAAATTAATTCGTTCCGTGAGTTTTGTCGTCTTGCGATTTTTTTCATCTTGCGAAGCACGGTGTCGGGAAAGTTTTGGAAAAGCTTCAAAAATCACCAAAGTCTTTAAAAACCTCAAAAAAGGCTACCACACCGCGTTCTATGAGTTGCTCCTCGAAGTCAAGTCGCAACTGTATTAACGGTGTTAAGAAAAAGGAAACAAACTTGCAAGACGTTTCCATCTTGCGAAGAAAGCCCATAGGGAAAATCGTCTTGCGAAGCAGCTCAAAAAACAAAAAACCCTTTCGTCTGGCGAGTTTTTTGTCTTGCGAGGCATTCGTCTTGCAAGGTACCACTGTACATACACCAGGCCATGCACCAGAGAAGTAACTCACAATATGAAAGAAAAAAAAGGGGGGGGGAGGACAGAAGCAAGTTCCTGTATTTTTTTCTTGTAACTTAATCAAACTTGTCAGGCAGAACGGTTCCTCCTTCTTCCCTGCATGCTGTTGGCTAAAGGGCTCCCAACCCCTTCAGAACCAATTTCAGGGAATGCACAAGGGAGGAAAGGGGAAATCCCTGTTGCAGAAGCACTTGCACAGGGCTTCCATTAGTTGAATCCTGCCCCTAGTACTAAAATCCTATCAAAATAACCTCATCTACCCTAAATGGTATGGTGAGCTCAACAAAAACAGGAAAATCTATTATCTAGTGTGAGGATTAAAGTTTGCATTTGGGGAACAGTCAGAGAGTCTGATCTACCAGGGTTTTGAAAAATGAAGAACCTATTGAGGCAGTGATCCCTCGTGCTTCTACTTTGCCTATATGCTATATAAAAAAATGGCCAAGTATTTCTTCAGTATAAAACTGACTCAGCTTACAAATGAAAGATCCTGCCCACCCCTCTAAAAGTTCTGCAGCAGTGAAATAACAAATAACTGTTACACCTTCTACCAGCTTCCTCCACCAACCCTCCTTCCAGATTGATCCTCCTTCCAGATCAGCTATAGAGTAAAACTGAAGTCCTCTTGTTGATGGTGCCAGTAAAAAGTCACAGCTGCATCCTCTCCTGTTACCTAAGGCTTCCACCCAGGCAACCTTAAAACAGTTTCTTATCAACACTGAACATTTTGGTTTTAACACTGTGCATCATTTCTTGTAGTGAATGGTGATTTCACATAGATTTAATACTTCAGAAGTATAATACATTTGGAGTACATACAGCATTAGTAGAACTGTGGTATCCATAAAGCTGGAGATGCTGATATAGTAAAGAAGAGTGAAATGAAGAGTTGCATTTCAAAATGAAGACAGGATAAAAAGAAAAGATAACAGTAGGTTAGGGCATAACAACTTCCATTGTACTTGTTATGAAATACAGTTTTACTTAAAGATAAGTCTTTGTTTAAAATTAAACAAGTTCAACAATATTTTTAAAATTAAAATGTTCTTAAGATTTTTAAAAAGCAGGTAATCAAAACAAACTATTGTCACCACTATTGTTCATCAATAGTTCAACAATGAACGACTGAACAGAGTTCCACCCACAACAGAATTCCAACAGAAACCAGGATTCCAACAGGACAGAAGCATTGCTGTAGTAAGCCCAGTTTTCTGAAGGAACCACTTTCTGGCTGGTTCTGCAGCTGCTCTAGAAATAACAAACCAGAACAAGGGAAGACATCATTTCTGCCTCCTCTTCAAGCACATTATTCCCCCCCCCCACACACTTATGAATTGCTGCCTATGAAGTATCTTGAAGCAATTTCACAATAAAATGAAAACCATATACGAAACAATTACATATATAATAACAATTTCAAATAAATTCACAGACTGATGGGGATTTAAAAAAACTCTACTTGTTAAAAGTCTTCAACAGGTGCCGAAAAGAAAAAAACAGTGGCACTTGTCTGAAATGTAATGGAACGGAGTTCCAAAGATAGGTACCGCTACACTAAAGGCCTGCTTCTGACATGATGTGGAATGGACCTCCTGATAAGATAGTATCTGCAGGTTGTCCTTTTCTGCAGGGTACAGTGATCAGTTGGGTGTAAGGGATGAGATGATAAGTATCCTGGTCACAAGCTGTATAGAGCTTTTCAGGGTACCAGCACCTTGAAAACAGCTCCGTAGCTAATTGCCAATCTGTACAATTCTTTCAGCAGCAGGTGACAGCCTACCCTGAGAGCAGCAGAGCAGCCACATTTTGCACCTCAAGGGCAGGCCACATAAAGTGCATTGTAGAGATCCAATCTACAGGTTACCAGCATACCTTTGTACAGCTTTCCGGGTCATGTGGTCAGCATGACTAAACCGCTATTGGTGCACAGAGGACCGTGATAAGTGCCAGAGCACACAGAAACGCTATTTACCTTCCTGCTGCAGAGGTACCTATTTATTTATTTGCACTGGCATGCTGTCGAACTGCTGGATTGGCAGAAGCTGGGACAGAGCAACAGGAGCTCACCCCATCACATGGATTCGAACCACTGACCTTCCAATCGGCAAGCCCAAGAGGCTCAGTGGTTTAGACCACAGCACCACCCACATCCCTATAGCATATAAACAACAGCTGTGAGGCTGGTCCAGAAACAGCTGCAGCTGTCTTAGCAGCTGAAGCTGGAAAAAGGCACTCCTAGCTACTGGGGTCTCCTGGGCCTCTAGTGACAAAGATGGATCCAGGAGCACCCCCAGACTATGAACCTGCTCCTTCAGGGAAAGTTTCAAAGAAGGAAACTGACCAATTACCCAGACTCAAGAGCTGCTTGCCACAGCACCTACACTTTGCCAGGATTCAGGGTCGGTTGGTCCACCATCAGCCCACCCCCAGGCCCAGGGCTTGAACAGCCTCTCCTGATACAGATGTTACAGAGAAATACAGCTGGGTATCATCAGTGTACTGTTGAAACCTTGCCCCCAATCTCCTAATGGCTCCATATAGATGCTGAATATCATTGTGGACAAGCACAACTGACAGGTGTCTAAAATATATTCTCAATGCTATTCTCGGAAACTGACCTTGGAGATTGGCCCAGAACAACTGTAAAACAGTGTTCACAATGCCCATCTCACAAAGTCAGTTCACGAGGATACTATGGTTAAATGTATCAAATCTCCTGAGATATCAAGTAATGATTACAGGGTTGCACTCCTCTTTTCCTTGTGTCAATAAAAGTAATCCATCAGGGCAATCAAGGTTGATTCATTCCCACAACTGGCTCTGCAAATGGATTGGAATGGGTTAAGGCAATCTGTCTCATTCAAAGGGTACTTGTAATTGTACTACAACCTCCTCAATCGCCATCTCCAAACAGGGCAGTAGTAATCACAATCCGGTCTAGGCCTTTTCAGGGGTGGGCTTATGAGATAAGAAGGTCTACCACAGCCCCTGGGCTGTGCAAGATCCCTCCCCTCCCATGTGAATGACTCTGACCCAGTGATTTGGTGTGTGTTTTTACCTTTCCCTCACTAATCTGAAGGTTTTGGTCAAGGGATGCAGAGTGCCACCCACATCCTAGGAGATGTGTCCTCAGATGCAGAGAAAGTAGGAGCAGTAAGACCTGCTAGATCAGAATCCTCTGCACCCAGCAGTCTCTGATCCAAAGGCTGGTGTTTTTTCTCTCTTCCCCTTGCTGGATCTGAGTGTAGCAAGCCTGAACGATTTTCATTAAACATTCAAAAGTTGGGGTGGAATGGAATTAAAATAATTCTGATCACTGCCACAGCTAGCAGAGTGGAACCCAGTGGTTCTGCCCATTCTTATGAATGACTTTACATTTCTTTGACTGGGATACCAGTACTCCTGCCTCTCTCTAAATGTCTCACTTTTAGAATGAAGCTATATGTTCATCATAATAGAAAATATGTACTTGTGATTATTACTGTAAACTTAACATTCTCTGTGCAGTATTTGAGATAATAAAGCTCCAATAATCATGCGAAGAAAACCAGAAAGTCCACAGGTTTCTTTCATCAATACTTACCAGCATAGCACGTTTCTCTTCATCTCCTCTTCTTTCTTTCTTTTCATTTTTCTTTCTGAATATGTCTTGCAGCTGCAAAAAAAGCCAATTGTATTCCCTATAGTCATTCTTCTGTCTTAGGATATTTACAGACATAAAGCCATCACACACTAATGCCTCAAGGCACTACAGTGGTACCTCGCAAGACGAATGCCTCGCAAGACAAAAAACTCGGTAGACGAAAGGGTTTTTTGTTTTTTGAGCTGCTTCGCAAGACGATTTTCCCTATGGGCTTGCTTCGCAAGACGGAAACGTCTTGCAAGTTTGTTTCCTTTTTCTTAACACCGTTAATACAGTTGCAACTTGACTTCGAAGAGCAACTCATAGAACACGGTGTGGTAGCCTTTTTTGAGGTTTTTAAAGACTTTGGTGATTTTTGAAGCTTTTCCAAAACTTTCCCGACACCGTGCTTCGCAAAACGACAAAACTCGCGGAACGAATTTCGTCTTGCGAGGCACCACTGTATCTAACAAAAGTTATATGCAGTGAGGCTTATCTGCAACTAACTTTTGTTGGATTGTACCCTTAATAAACTTATTTTTAACAAACACAATGGAGTTTTTAATACACATTTTCTCCTCCTGAGTCCCACCTTCATCTTTAGGTAGAAGCAAGTGCAATACTGTGACATATGTGCCAATTGACACAAACTTATCCCACTCTCGCTGTGTGCTATCTGTGCAATTGTAAATGTAGGAAAGACACCATAAAAACCAAACCAGAAAGTTCTGCAGTGGATTTTGTTATCAGCAGGCAACTAGACTTACATGATCTATAGCTCCTTACATACTTGGACTGATAGGCACCTATCTCCAATAATAAAGCTACTTGAATGTGCCCACCACAGCACGATTCACCAGTCCAATCCAATCGAATAGAATCCAATCCAAGCCTCCATTGCAAATTGTGACTCCATGAAGAGATAATGAGCCACAGAGCCAATTCCAATGCTCAGAAAACGAATATTGCTCCCCCTGGAATTTTACAACTTTAGAATGGAGGATGAAGTTTCATGTTCCCTTCATCAAAAATTTCCCACATATAGAAAGCTATTACCTTTGCGAGAAGGATTCTAGCCTAGACTTCTTCCTGGCATATTAGTTTTCCAATACAGAGAATGTGGGAAGCCTTCAAACATGCAAAACCCCACCTGCATTCTGAAGTAGCACAGTCCCAGGAGACTATACAATATATTCTTTTTGAACATTTGAAATACCTCAGATTGGCGTAAACTAAAAAGTAAGGTCAATCCATCATGAAATGGTAAGGAGAGTGTTGGTAATTGAAAAAGCAGAAAGATCTTTTTTAAAACCTCCAATTCATGCTTTGATTTCCTCTACACCAGATACGGGGAGGAAGATCTTGTTGCACTCATCAATAAGGCTCATTTGATCTTCTGGAAATGAACCTTTTGTGAAGAAGAAGTGCTACAGGATACCAAAGAGTACGACAGTGAACATGAATTAATCTGAGAGCACTTTTCATAGGAACATTGTCTGAAACAAAATAATGGGATTGACTGTTGAAAGCAGAAAGGACAAAACAACATCTCTTGTATCAAGGGAACAAAATCCCTCTGTTCTCTGACCTCAAACCTATGACATAAACAAACAGGATTTTTTAAATAAAAAAAAAGTCTGTAAAGCGTTTGATGACTTAGTTTGGATAAATTTTGGTGTGTTGTATACAGGAAAAACTGGGTGTTATAAGCTCTTCCTTGTCACGTTTCATGTTCTTTATGCAATAGGACCTAATAAAGGGCAGCACCATTGCCTTAATTAGACTGGTTTTATTTACATGAGAACTCACTTAAGAGTCTGCTTGGCCTTTCAGTAACTCTTAGTATTACAGATGAATGTTAAAATAGCAGCTTGAGGGCATATTAAACATTCAGCTTTTCTTTAGAATAGATGTTAAGGATTTTTGCGCATTCATACTTTAATAAATTTTTTTTAAGTAAAGTCTTTTCTAACACAGATGGTAGCGTGGTTCTTGCTCTGAAAGGTTGGTCACAATTCACAAGGCTAATACCATAGAACAGGTGTAGGGAATCTGTAGTCCACCATATGTTGCTGAACTACAACCTCCCACCAGCCTCAGCAAGCATGGCCAATGGACAGGATGAGAGTTCTAACAACATCTGGAGGGTCAAAGATTACCCAAACCTGCCATGGAGATTTTTTAAAAAGTTTTCATTTGTTGTCATCATATTGCTACTGCATAACCAACTCATGAAACAACAGCACAATGTCATTTCTCCCTTACTGACTGATATTAAAATACCCATGCATGTAATGATCTACAACCCCTTCTTTCCATCTCCAAACTGCCACATCTCCAAACTGTTACCATGGATTGTAGCTAAACTAGGTGGTACCCACCATGTAGTTATCCAATCAGCGAAAAACAGGAGAAATTTCTCGTTTTCATTTCTCTCAGCCTTCTTGCTTGTTTTTCAGTCTCAAATGTTTCTCTTTTCACCCACATTTCCCAACTCTCTCCCCACTCCACCACACACTTCACCTCCTCTGCGAAGCATGTGCTGTTTGCTTTATCACCACAATCACAAGAGTGTACCATGCACATGGTTGCTAGGCAACCACCCACATGGTTCCTTTGTGCCACCTTTTCATAGTGGGGCCACATACTGTAGCTGGAGTATCCAACTGGGAAAAGTCACAGTGAGTAACTGGGAAATAAGTTGTTGTAGAGCGTACATGCTTAGAGGTTAGGATACAAAGGCCTCTTCAGACAATCTAGTTGCTGACTCTTGAATCAGAGGGATTTCCCCCCGATTTACAATTTCAGAACTTTTACTTAAAAGTTTTTTGCTTTTAAGCAACAACAAACACACACTTAAGAAGCTGGTAAAAGGGCAATGTATAATATACGTACCACCAAAAACTCTTTTTTGTCCACCATCTCATTTCCATCTGTATCAAACATGTTGAAAGCTATTCTAAAACCAGCATGTGGCTCTGCCAAAGGAAAAAAAGAGGGGAAAGGTGTAACAGAGTACAGCAATTTAAAAGGATACACCTGGGGTGATGGGCTGCAGAGAGGGTTCAGTTCATCTCACTTCTGCTGTTAAAATCAGACTGCCTAAAATCAGACATATACCCTACACAACTGTGACAATTTTGTGTTTAAACATACATAATGTTTGGTCTCTACTTTGACCCATAGCTGTGGGCCAGTTCCAGTCAGCATGGCAACAAGGCCATGTACAGTAATCTGAAACCAACACCCCATCCCAACCACTTGGAAAGTATTGAGAGTCTTCACACACATGTAAGTTATGTCACTTTGTAGATTTGCCACTGCAGATCACCTAAATGAAGTTCATGGACTACTTGTGGTCTGTGGGTCACTTTCTGGAAACCCTTGCTCAAATCATAAAGACCACGTACCAACTTGGTGTTTTTTATCAGTTCTTGCAGCACTATTTCATGACAGGACCCTGGGCTGTTGTGCAGAGGAGGTCGAATCTTAGGTCTTCACATAATTCCTAGGAACCTCCATGGTAACAGGCAATTTTGGAAAGCAGTTCACTAATGAGTTTTTGACAGCAGCACCCCATTCATTTAGATAGGGGTGTATTGCATCAGTCTGAGGAGTGGGAATCTTTCAAACAAAAAATCCCACACATGTATTCTAGGGTGAAATGGGATAATCACATGGAAGATTGCATCACGTATGTACTGGAACCAGCCCTTCAGCTGGGATTGAAAGGAAGACGTTGAAACTTATTTTGGTATTGCCTCCTGCCAATAGAAGATCCTGTTTCACTTCCACTGTGGTAACCGATTGAAATAGTAACAGACTTATTTATCAGAAGAATGAATATGGAAAAGAACATGTTTAGTACTGCTTCCAGGACAGTGATTTAAGTTGTCTTTTCTACTTTTGTATTGAATTATTCCAGTAATGTTTCATCATGGGCAGATAAGAACAAATTGCAAATTATGAGTTTTTCCCTTCCACAAAAATATTGACTTATTTTAATGAGCATCAAATGGCATGAAATGTACAAATATAGGATATAAATTTTACTTTGAACACTTACTTGTTAAGATACATAATAGAAACAGATATTCTGTGTAAGAAATCACACCTGAAAAGAGCAAGGCAACAAATCACTTAAATTATTCCTCCAGTCATAGATTAATAGCCACAGAGTAAATAATGGGGGTTTGCCCATATCATAGTCCCTTTCTATGGCAACTCTACAAACACACAGGAACTCCTTCATCTGCAAGAAGCCTCTCTTGGCTAATGAGTTATTCTAGATATATAACCATTTATTTAAGAACATAAGAAGAGCTCTAAACCTTCCCCCTCTGTTTCTCTGATGTACCTCTCCCGCCACAGAATGTTGCTTCTTTAGAAAAACATACAAATCAAATTTTAAAGTACGCTATTCTGGCAAATAAGTACTCAAAATGGGTTACATTGATTTGACTTCTGCCCAATCACATTTTTCTTCTTTATTAATGCCTCTGTTATAACTAATTTCAACACCTTATTACAAATACCTTTTATATAAATTACTTGGAAAGAAAGCAACATGCTTGCCCAGATTCAAGTGTATTGAAACTTAACATACATTTCAGCTTAAAAGAGCATGAAACACATGAACTTATTGCTTAACACTCCAAACCCTCAAATGTGGATTGCAAAATCTAACAACTGTTAGAAAGTCTTTTTCTTTTACCTCCCATATGGCTCACTGCCACGAAAATAAAAAAGTCAAAGTTGCACAACTAATCTAGCCTGCTCATTTAAGCCATCACACTTCTGGCATTTAATTTTTTTCACTGAAAGTCTCAGTCACCTAACGATTAATGATCTTTCCACATCATGCTTATTCATCCTATTTATTCATTGCACCACAAACAATGGTGTTCACTCTCCTTCAGACCATTTGCCTCCAAAGGGCAGGGCTTACCCTGGCTAGAGAGGCCTGCCAAAGTACCCAGAGTGCATGCACACACAAAGGCCCCCTGACTTTAAAATGTTCTATTTAAGTCACTTTAATGGAGACCAATGAATGAAAAGCGGCTCTTGTGAAGTAGGTCAGGCAGACAAGAACACAGCTATCTAGGAAATCTTGAACACATTTCTGCTTTTTGTCAGTACTAGTATATTGCATCCTATAGACAGATAGTTCTGGATGACTGCTCTTGCTGTTCTGGGAGAGAGATTCTGGAAAGGCTGCAGGCAACAGAGAAAAATCCTGTGGGCAAATTACAGCTCAGTCTGCTGAAGGCAGTACTATTCATTTAGGTACAAAATTATTGCAGTGGCAATAGAATCAGCACAAAACAGTAATAGCTAGTGTGAGGGAAGATCCTAAAAAGGTAAAGGGCAATCTAAGGCTTAAGGTAAATACTGTTGTGAGTTTCTGGGTGCCAGACACGGAATTCAGCCCATGGTAAAATATAAGGCAGGCCAGTTTCCTGATGAGGAAATCACCTGGAGTGATGGGCCATTAGGAAAACAAAAAGAAGGTGATGAGCCATTAGGGAAGTGAAAGAGAAGGGGCTCTGTGTCAGACAGCAAATGAGAGGGGCCCCTCTCTCAATTCAATAATCAGTTGTAGCACAAAGTGGGAATTTGAGCGCAGAGTTTGCTATGATGTGACCTAGAGGCTGTAAAACAACAGAAAAAGCCATGCCTGATTTCTGCTTGAATCAAAGGCTTCAGCTATGGGAGAAACAAGACCCATTTTGGGGTGTTGATGATGTGACCCCCTCCATCGTAGGCTCAGGTTGCATATATGTGTAAATAAACCACATATCCTAAAGACTCTGCAGATTCCGCTGTGCCTCATTTTCAAAGGAAACACAAAGCCTGGGTAAGCACCTGGAACTCCTGGAATCTCACATTCTAGAAAACATATATTCCTCTGTACCTTTCTCTTGGAGGTTACGAAATAGTTTTGAGGACCCTTTCCAAACCGGTGGAGTTTCTACAAGTATTTGATTCAATTCCTGTAAAACAGTAATTAAAAGAAAGTCGACTATCTATGTGATAAAAAGGCTCAATAAGGCTGCAATCCTCTACAAACCTACCTGAAAGCAAGTACCCTTGAATTCAATGGAACTTACTTCTTAGTAGATATATACCATATTACACTGCAGAGAGGAAAGGTTGTGGCAAGAACTGGATTAAATCCCATGGTACAAGATATTGGGAAGTCTAGGTTATAACAGCATGAAAATGTTTAATAAAGTAGAATGATGGAATGCAGATTACATATACAGTTGTACCTTGGTTCTCGAATGCCCCAAAATTCGTACGTTTTGGCTTCCGAACGATCAAAAACCAGAAGTGAGTGTTTCGGTTTTGAAACATTCTTTTGGAAGCCGAATTTCCGATGGGGCTTCTGCGGCTTCTGACTGGCTGCAGGAGCAGAAGGGCCCTCAGCTTTTGACTCTTCATCACTACACCACACCAGTTCACCCAATACTGAATACTTTAATGTCAATCTCTTCACACCTATGAGCTATTTATACAATTCAAGCAAAGCGAAGTGCTTCAGACATTCCTCTCAATATATAAGTAACTGTAGATAGTAAACACAAACAACAATTACACACATTGAGGCAAATCCTAATTCTTTGTTGCGCAGAATTGAAGCTCACCTGTTTTGAAAGAGACTTCCATTTTCTTGTCCCTAAAATGAATACAGAAATAATTACTCACACAAAATATTCAATAGCACAAGAACACAGAAGCTGTCCTATCGATAGAGCAGATGGCTGTTCCATCTAGTTCTGCACTGTCTACACTGACTGGCGTTGGCTCTCCAAGGTTTCAGGCAAGAGTTTTCCTCAGTCCTACCTGAAGACATCAGGGATAGAATCCGGGACTGCATTGGCTAAACAGATTATTACTGCAAAGCAAAATAGTGGTCATTTTTTTTAAGCTGGTGCTAGGTCAGGGGTTGCTAGCTTGTGACACTCCTGATGTTGCTGAACTACAACTCCAATCATATCTGATCACTGGTCATGCTGAGTGGGGCAGATGGCAGTTAAAGTCCAACAGCAACATGGAGGCTCACAAGTTCCCCATCTCTACTAGAGAAGGTTTCAAAATCGCAGGAGATTTTATACCACCCAGTACTCATCCAGTTGCTATTATTTTTGTTTATATAAGCCATGTTTAGACTGCTTTTTCAGCAACTCAAAACAACTAACAATTAATTTAGAAACATCAGTTAGTTCAAAGCAACAATCAAGCAAACAAAACCTGGTAGGTTATTCAATAAACACAAAAACATTAACTCATCCAGGCGACCTTAAGAACTGCCTTCTCCAATATGACCATCCCAAGACCTGAAAACCTATTTGGAAGCCCATGTTTGCGTCCTCATGCCTTCAATGGTGAGGTGGCAGGTGACATAATCACCCTTGCTGTTGTGATGCCCGACTGCATGACCCCAGACTGAGACCCCAAAGTCTGGCAGCAACTGCACCATTGGTAGCACTCCACTTTGAAATGCCTTGACCAGGAAAGTTAGCCTGGAACTCTTTCTTGTCTTTTATTGCACTGTGCTGCTTTTATTATGCTTACTTTATTATTATTATTATTATTATTAGTAGTAGTAGTAGTAGTAGTAGTAATTCATAATTTGAGTTTCAACAGGCTGAACAGCAGAACAGAAATCAACCAAATGTACAAAACAAAAAGCAACAAAATTCAAACCCCAATTGCTGAAGAGACATTTTACTTCCTATCCAGAATGCAAAAAAGAAAAAGTGGGTTTCCAAATATTCAAAAGCAAATGGTTTTAGGCTTCCAGATCTTAGGAATTATAACTACAAAGGCCCACACTGCCACTTTTCTCTTTCACTATGATGGAACACCAAGCAATGCTTGCTGACCTACGCTCAATTGGAGCATGAGCTAATATAGGGAAAAGCAGCCTTTCAGGTTTGTGGATCTCAGGCCATGTAAAGGCTTTAAAGGATTAAAATCAGCACTTTAAATTGAGCCTAGAAGCAGATAAGTTACCAGTCAATTCTTTAGTGTTAATAGTTTTTCTATACAAAAAAGTAAAAAAGAGTTATTACTGTTTAAATGACTTTTGTGACCTTACTCTTCCTTTAAATTGCTTCTCAAAGTCCACCTTTTCCACACAGCCTTTGACTTATCCCTTTAATCCTCATTCCCTTCTTTAATCATATTCCTCCCTCCCTACTCTTGTCTCTTCTCTCCTACTTTTGGCTGCTTTCCCTATTGCTTATTTTAGATTTCAAGAACCCTAGGGAGAGGGTTCTGACTAGTTTTTCCCATGCAAAATGCATCATACAAACAATAACATCAGCTTTAAAGTATTTTGCATAGAAAACTTCCCTTCATAGTGTGCCTTAAAGGGACCATGAAACCAATATTATTTCTATTTTTAATTTTGACCCTTGATTTCACAAAGCTTAATGGTTTAAAGTTTGAAAATATCAGTACCAATATACAATTGTAAATACTTGGGATACCTAAAGTGAGCCCACACAAAAGGGAAGCTATACTTTAATCAAAAAACTGGAAGACTGCATATGAACATTCAGTGTAGCAAACACATTGGTGGTGGATGCAGAGGAAATTGATCAAAACATCAAACAAAGGCAGTTATTGAAGCAGCACACACAGAGAAATTTATTTATTTATTCACACATACCTAGATTGAGTGCCCAGGTGGTGAGGGTTGGCTTCTTACTAAAATGCTAGTCTAGCTCAATAAAGTTCTGGAGATTGCTCTGCAGAACACATATTTGTAATGACTCAGAAACCACACCCAGAAAACAGCAACAAACTATACTTACTCTTTGGTTCGTCATTTGAAACAGACTGAATGAAGTCATATGGTGTCATAAAGAGCTGCCCTTCAAATTCTAAACTGGCAAACATGCGAAATCGCTGCTCCCGGGAAGTTGCATAAAGATCCAACTCTTGAAGATCTGGTCTGCTTTCTGTGCCCTTTTAAAAAGACAAAAGAAACCAAGAGAGTGTTAGCTGTTTTGTTGACAGAGATCCTAATGCTCTCCCCCACAGTTTAAACTGGCTGACCTCCCTCTCACCTTCAATCCCACAACACAGGTTTTCTTTTTAAATCATAGACTATATATTTCCTTTTCTTAACTCCCACTTATAGTTTAAACCTACAGCTGAAAGAAATGTGAGTCATATGCATGTATTACTTTACTATAAAAGCAGCATCTATTACAGAGGACATATCAACAACAGAGGACGAGATGGTTGGATAGTGTTCTCGAAGCTACCAGGATGAGTTTGACTAAACTGCGGGAGGCAGTGGAAGACAGGAGTGCCTGGCGTGCTCTGGTCCATGGGGTCACAAAGAGTCGGACACGACTAAACGACTAAACAACAAATAAACTATTATGCCCTATCATAATGGGTTTGTGGCTTGGTTTGGTTTAGTTTAGTACTGAGCTAAAAATGCCTCCTTCCTTTTCAAGGTGCAATTTATCTCCAGCAAAAGTGGGGAAATTATTACTTTTGGGGGTTTTTTTGGGGTGAGTAGGTGTGTGCGGGGGGTGGGAAGAGAAATTTATCCTACTTTTAGTGGGGCTTATATATGATATAGGTATGAGTAGGCAGTAGGGTTGCAGCCTTTCTTTTCATAATAAAATTGTTTTGTTAGTTCAAGTGGTGGCAGAGTTAAATAACCAGCATCAGCTGGTGGGATCCCTCATTGAGTATAGTCCGGGAACCATGCCATGCCATACCATTCTTTCCAGAAGGATTGTCAGCAATAAATAAGTATGTATTTTAAAGGCTGTTTCCACTTCCCTGTTGCTTATTGCAGCTCCACCACTGCTTGAAGCAGTGTCAAGACTGCAACCTGCTGACATCTAGCATGGTAAACCATTCCATCCCTGGAAAATTATTGAGAACTTTCTCCCAACTCGCATAAGTAAGAAAAATAGTTTCAGTGCTGTTTTCACCCTCCCTGTGCCTTAAAAGGTCTGTACCGTGTTATATTTTAAGGGGTAGTCAGGAAACTTGCCAACAAATCATGTTGCCTTGTTTTGGCCAGGCTTAATGGTTTAAATGGAACTAATCTCTTTCCCTCTGTGAGAAAATCCTAAACGTGGATAAACGGACTGAGACCTTTAGCTTGGTTAACCAAATATATTTATTGGGTCGCGTTTGCAAAGGCGGGCTCCCATCACATCCCCGTGTGACCGAAGAGCCCCGTTCAAGCAATGCATGAAGGTTTTAAGCCCTAACTGCCGCCCCTCCTTCGGAGGCTTGGCTTACAATCTTCCTGTTACAAAATAACATATTTCTAATACAATGTACTGTCCATTTTAACTCATTGCCTTTTTAGGAATCGCAAGGTCTTAAGCTTGTTTCCTTCCTCTTTTTACCGGAGGAACATGTGCCTGTTACACAACTATTTCAGGTTCTGAAATTTTCCACTGCCAGCTTTTACGTGGCACATCCACTCTCTTTGTGATGTTCGAGGCAGGCCCTATTCTCACAAATCCCCCCTCTTTTTCATGCTTGCCTCGAACTCACACAATAAATCCAAATGGTTCCCTTCCTCCTCTTCTGTAGGCACAGGTTCATACCTCATTACCATCATTTGGGTGGCAGCGTGTCGCTGTGCTAACAGGGAGAGGGAGTTGTTGATTGCCCTGACAAAGATAGGTAACACACAAGGGATCAATACACATCCTGCGGCTATTAATCCAATTAGGGCTACGATGGCTTGCAACCCTGGCAACTTTGGGAACCATGAGCCGAATAATTCCTTAAAATTCAGCCCTTCCCATGTTTGTCCCCCCCCCCCACACAAAACAATTCCTTACTGTTAGTTCTTTTGCTATAGTTTCGGCCAGGCTTAGAAACATATTATATGCTTTTGGGGGTAAAGGTAAATTGTTTAGTTGTTGCATTTCTTCTTCAAAACTTTCATATACTGATATAAGCTTTTTGCTTACCTTGGTAGTGTGAATCATTATAATCAAATACCCATAGGGATCCTTTCCAGTTCCATCTATCCCCAACCCATTTGGGGCTAGTGGAGGGCAGTTCCCTAGTCCATAGGCACACAGGGTTGCATTTTCCCGAGCTACAGGCCGTGGAAATTCCTGCTCGGGTAATATTGACACCTTCCGGACCCCAATACGGGGGTGATTCATCAACCCCCTTTGTGATAGCGGTGCATGCATCAAAACAAACATGTACCTTATCTGCACCTCTCGTAATGTTGTGGGCTATATACCCTTGCCTTTGTATGTGCTCTTTCTCCAGCCTTGTTTGCCGTTCCTCCCTTATATCCATACACATATATACTGGATGTAATGGGCCCTACTGCTAAGGGCTCATAACACTCGGTCTTGTTTTCCTTAGTTCTGCACCTAAAATATTGGGTTTGGTTATGGACACAGGGTTCTAGTTCCTTTTCACATTCCGGAGCAACATTATAATACATCAATGTCCGTGTGACAACAGTCCCAGTTTTAGTAATTTGGATGCAGTCCGTGCAGGCATGTTCGCCCGCGATTGCGGCCGTAGCCCACAGCAAAAGTGTCCAGGTCATCTTTGGCCAGTCCATCCCTCTCCTCCTCGAGCTCATCCCCCTTTGGACCTAGGTTCGTCGGATCGTGATTTTTAGCGGGTTGCTAGGGTCGACCCGAACGGTCCAGTCCTGTGGTGCCTTCTTAACCCGGTGATAGTGTGTCCACCCGTGCTCTTGGGTCCGCACTGCCGATTCAGTTGTCAGCAGAACTTGGTACGGTCCCTCCCAAGCCAGGGTTAATTTTTCAGTCCGCCAGGTTTTTATGAGCACCCAGTCTCCAGGCTGGTGGGGATGTTGGCTTCCAAGGAGAGGTGGTCTCTGCGCCAGAAGACCTCGTCTGTGAAGAGATAATAAAGACTGGGACAATGTCTGCAGGTATTTCCTCAAAAACATGTCTCGGAACTCTGGAATGGGGTTTCCCAAGCAGGCTAAATAGGGCCTTCCCATTAACATCTCGAATGGGGAGACCCCCGTGTCCTTTCTCGGGGTTGTTCGAATTCTCATAAGAGCCAGAGGGAGGTTCTTCGTCCAAGGTAGCCCATTTTCCAAATACAACTTTGTCAAATGTTTCTTAATTTCCCCGTTTGCTCTCTCTACTTTTCCACTACTCTCGGGGTGCCAAGGGGTGTGTAGGTCCCATCTCACCCCCAAGGCCCGCATTACTTCCTGAAGCACCTGTTGGGTGAAATGGGTTCCCCTGTCGGAATCCATTGCCTCCATCATTCCATATCTGGGAATGATGTGTTCCAGGATGATCTTTCAGTACCAGCAGGTATTTCATCCCTCCCTTCTCTGGTAACTCTGTGAAATCTATTTGGACCCGCTGAAAAGGCCAAACAGCTAGGGGGCGACCCCCTTTGTCCCGTTGCTTTGCCCTGGTTTTATTTACCTTTTGACATATCAAACATTTCCAAGCCACCCCATGCGCCATTGCCCATATGTCTGGACTCCAATACAGAGCCTTTGCGGTGTTAATCATGGCCTCGGTTCCTCCATGGCCACTTTCATGGATTTTTTTTTTTTTCCCAATATTCCTTGCTAGGTTCCCTTGCGGCGTTTGTTTATTTGCCGCTGCCTGAAAGGCTGACACCATCATTTGACATTTCTGTTTGTTTTTCGCCGTTTCCCTATTAACGAACACTTGCTGTGCCGCCCTGACCAGTTCGGTCATGGTGGCGTCCTGCCATTCCAATTTTTGTAACTTCTTCTGGATGTCCGGCCAGGACTTTGTTACAAATTGCATGCGCAGGAGGTTGGTAAAAGCTTCAGTATCCGGTTGGATTCCTGAATACTTGACAAGGTGTTCCCGTATACGACCTGCGAAATCCCCGGGTGATTCATCTTTCGTCTGGCAGACCTCAAAGGCTTTTGTAAGGTTTCTTGTTTGGGGGACCGCTTTACGTATGCCCTCCAATATCATGTATTTTAAATCATTCATCCTAGTTCGATCAGCCTGAACGTTTATATCCCATGCAGGTTCTGCCAGAGGAAATTTTACGTCTCCCGCTACGGCCCCCGCTGCCCCTTGGTGTCTTGCGTCCCATGCTCTAATGGCCGCTGTGCGGATCATTTGTCTTTCTTCCGGAGTGAACAAGTACCCCAACACATACATTAATTCCGTATATGTGTGGGTATGTGGTCCCATCCACAATTCCAATTGCTCCGCCACCTCCTGACTGCTCTCATGTAACTTAGGTAGGGTTTTCTTCAGTTCTCGTAGTTCACTGGGCTTCAAAGGGCTTACCACGTGAACCATTACGGCTGCTCCTCCATCATTCACTCCTCCCGGGACCTCCCTCAAAGGGTAATTACTCACTCCGGGAGAACTGGCGGGAGATGGCCAAACTGCAGCTATGGGTGTCCCCCCCTGGGTTGCCGGCGGACGCTTCCGTCCACCTGACCCATGGGTGCGATCCATGGGCAAATTCTGTAGATCCTTATTCAGGTTTTCTAGTTCCTTTCTCAGACGTCCATGGTCCAGAGAATAAGGGGGAGGGAGCTCCGTTTCGGATTCCGGCCCCTCCTTAGTCTCTGGAGCACTAGGCTGGGTTCTGGAGGCATCCGTGCCCAACCCCAACTGCGGGCCCGGTCCTGGTTGTGGGGCTGGACCCGGGCGCCGCCCCTCCTGACTGCTCTCAACTGGTTCATCCAATATTTATCCACCTCCCCCTCCGGGCTCCAACGATAGGCCCCATTTGGGCCAATCGGATAACCGGGCCACAGATCCCGGCAAAGTCTTATCATGGTGACTTTAACCAGGTTCCGGGTATATTTTTGTAAATTTTCCTCGGACCATTGCTGCAGAAGTTGTCCCAGGGGTGAATTGGGATCTATACTGTCAGAGCTGCTTCCAGATCCCAGCTCACAGAGGATCACGCTAGCCAGCTATCATTAAGTAAAAGTCTTTATTGAGTTACAGTTTCCATTC